CTTGATTGTTCATGGGGTTAGAATCCCCCTGCTCTATGGAAGAGCAACGGGAGTCACTGAATAGTAGAAAGAGGTCAACCGGTACTGCTTACCAGCAGAAATGGAAGAAATTCTTCCATTCGGGGGGTGATGTCGCTACCTCCTGCCTGATACTATGCTACTGTTACCTGCACACATTAGGGCACCCCACCTTTTCCCAGTCCATAGGGATCCAGGCGTAACCCAGTTAATTTAGGCCCCCCCACCTTTTCCCAATTGGTAGGGCTCCAAGCGAAAAGCACCTACCCTTACCCAATCCGTAGGGCTCAGGGCCACCTGTACCCAATTCATAGGGCTCCGGGTGTAACTAACCTGGTTAATTTAAGTACCCACACCCTTTACCAATACGTAGGGCTCCGGGTGCATACTACTTCTGCAGATGTGCAGGACCTTTTACCAGTGAAAGAGCCTTACACAGTAATATCCTGATCCTCTATTAACAATTACCAAGCATACAATGAATAAACATTAAGCATACAACGCCATTCTCACCAATCCTGATCATGCAGGCGGACTTCCTCTGTTGGCCAGGCAAGATTGGTCTCGTCTGAGCCCTAGTTGCTGCATGTCAAGGTCGTGCAGAGGATTCTTAACAGCTCTGGTCTTAGGCTATGTCTTGTGGGTGAGTTCTTCTTCTTCCAGGTCTTTCCTTCTTCTTCTCCTTCTTCCCAGCTAGTCTCCTTCTTGGACCCCAGTTTATATAGTGAAACTTGTCCTGCTTAGCTATACCTTAACCAATCATTTTACTCAAATCTATCTAACATATTGTAACATAATTCTCCAACCAATTATATCCCACTACCCTAATTAACTTACACTGAGAAAAATTAATTATACAGCAGACAGAAACAATTAAACAATAGAGAAGTGGGGACCATAATGACAAAGCAATAAAGAAATGAGAATTTCACAACCACAACTATTGATAAGTGATTTCTTGACGGACAGAAAGCTTTAACCAACTTAAGATCTGTTTCTTTATCTGGTGATAGTGGGTGCCATTAGGATGGGGTCTCCTTCTTAACAGCCTGGTTTAATGTAATTTAGATGAATGTGAGGATGTGACTTCTTGTTTCTCAGCTAATGGCTGCTGCTTGGGTGCTCTTTTAATCTGGCTGCAGACAAAGGCCTTATCCTTACACTACTCTCAGTTATCTTGGATTATCTGTTGGTTCTGAAGACATCAGGGGTCTCAGTTCAGTTAAGCTCCTTTTGGCCACAATATCAGCCTTCCTTCTTCTTGTAAAAGGATCCTCCATTTTTGCTCACCTGGTATCAATTGGGTTTATTTAAGGGTTTGGAGAATCTCTACCCTCCACATTAGGGACCCTACCCCAATCTGGCACCTCAGGTTGGTACTCAGTTTCTTTACGTGACCTCCATTTGAACCAATGGCAGTCTGTCTTCTGCTCCATTTATATATGAAGACATTCTTTTTAGTAGCCATCACATTGGCTTGTAGGGTTGAAGAAATGGATGCCTTGATGGCAGATCTCCCCCTTTATGTTATTCTTCAAGGACAGTGTCTTTACCTCCACACAGTGAATCCCTACCTAAGGGTCTGTCGGAATTCCACCTTCATTTTTTCCACCTCCATGTATTCATTTTCCAGTTTTCATGCCCTATATTTTAGAAGAGCACTGGATTTCTACCTAGTATTGAGAAAGTCACCTAAGTGCTTCATTTCCTTCACAGATAGATCCAAGTTGTCCTTGATCTCTGCTCAGAGACTATTGAGATGGATATCTGGATGTATTATCACTTGTTATGTGGATGCAAGCGTTGATCCTCCCCACCCCCCAAAGGTGATAGCACATTCAACCAAATCATAGGCAACATCTACAGCATTACTTAAGAATGTGCCCGTATCTGAGCTGTGTAGGGCTGCTATCTGGGCTTCAATATGTATGTTTTCAAAACATCACACCCTGATTTATGCTGCCAGATCCAATGCAACACTTGTTTCTGCAGTGGTATCTTCAGTTCTGGTCTCAATTTCGAAACTCCCTCCTCCATCTGTGGATTCTGCTTAGAAGTCACCTGAGGTGGAGCATCCAAAGGGACACTGCTCAAAGAAGTGGTATTCACCTTGTGCAGTAACTGTGGTTCTTCGAGATGTGTCCTCCTATGGGTGCTCCACGACCTGCCCTCCTTCCTCTCTGCTAGGGAACGTTTGGCAGGAGATGGAACTGAGGTCAGTTCACCCGCGCACCCCTATAAAGTCTTGGTGTCTGGCATGCGGAGGCCTGGGGTGTATGCATGGGCTGAATGGACACTGCTAACTGAAAATCTCCAATCAAGGGCTTGAGAGGCACATGTGTGCCTAGGGAGACACATTTCTAAGACCTGCAGTTACTGCACAAAGTGAGTAACCTCTTCTGCCCATTACTGGAGCACCATCCCTTCTGTGCAGTGAATGAGGCAGGAAAATGTTGGTGGGGAACAGTCTGTGGTCATGTAATTAAAGACTGTATCATACTGCATACGCGAGGGGGCCACAGTACAGTTGCACAGAAAACTTTAATCCTGGCATTACCTAACTTTGGAATGCTTGACTTCGTAACCATGTTCTTTGTCCATATTTTTTTGTGTATAATGTGAATATACGGTGCCTTAAGTGATGTGTGTTAAATTTTGTAGACTTCATTATTGTGACTTTTACGTAATTTATTAATGTACCATCCTTTCAGATTGAAGCATGGAAGGGACAGGAAACTGTGCATGAGATTGTAAGGTGTTCTTTCTTAGTTTAGGTGTTGGGGAGGACAGAAAAGTAATACAGCCAGCATCCTCCCTTTTAAATGCTATACATAATGTCTGTATTCAGCAATGTTCACGCAGTGTGTCCTGCACAGATCTGTAGCAAGGTTCTACTAAGTCTGTTGTCTGAAACTGCTTTTCATGATTCTGGCTTGTTCAGTGGGACACCTAGGTGATATATGTGACAAGGTGTTCAAGTCTGTAAAAGAAAGATGTTGCACATTACAATGGTCCATGATTATGCTGTTCAGAAACCGGGCGTGCAAAGCCCCTGTGACCTAGGGCCCAGTGCAACACAACAGCTAAATCATTCTCTTATGGACCGGAGCTCTAGTGTAGGAAGAGTATCCACAAGGATGAACTCTGGTAGAACAGCAGGTTTTTTCTTATTGAAAAACGTAGTGGCCACTAGAAAAATATTCTTGCTGTCCATTAAATTGAGTTCCAATCTACATGCTGTGGTACAGCATCTCAGTGTTACTTGGCTGTGGAAGTTAATTGTTATAAATGTATTTCTAATATGCCAGGTCAAGAAACCGGTAGTGTGCAGTGACTGTCTGCCTTGTTGAAGGTTTGTGAAGACACCCTCTTTATGTTGACAGGTTTAGGTTGACATCCGATGAAGTGAGCTGTAGCTCACGAAAGCTCATGCTCAAATAAACTGGTTAGTCTCTAAGGTGCCACAAGTCCTCCTTTTCCTCTTTATGTTGCAGTTGATATCCGCATGTACATGTGAGTGGAGGATGCTGACCTAGTGACTTCCAGGGTATCAGAAGTGGCATGAGCAAACTTCCTCTTTCCTGGACACAGCCCAGCTCTAGGAGTTTCATGCTTAACCCTGTAGCTCTGGAATCCTTTTTGAGCAGTAACTAGCAGTCAGGGATGAATGCCGTTCTCTCGAGCCAAACGTTTCATAGGTCTAGGCTACCCTATTACTTCTAACAGCCCTAGAGTTCCCCTCTGTTCTTCTGACCGCACTTACAGAATATCTGTCTTCCTTATTCTATATAGTTGTAAATAGTTCACAGCTTGGTAAAGTACAGTGTAGACTAAGTCTGAAGTTTTGGCATTTTCCGGCTGTTTCATTATCGTTGTCGCACTTTGGAAGATCACCCTGGGCTTTGTCTAGGGCAGCAGATCTAGTGAGAAAAATGGGGTTAAAGGAGTGTTCCTCTTGCCCAGCTGTGTTCCACTGCTTCAAACAGACATGAAACAATGCCTTTCATAACTCTAAGAAAATCACTCCGCCAAAGACAGCGATGTCTTCAAGGTTCCCTTCAGAGGCCACTGAAAGGGCAAAAGACACCACTCCTGAACCTGCTTCTGTGAAAGGCTTCTCAGTGCATGAATCTGGGAGGCCTGCACAGACAAAAGCCTTTTTTCTACCTCTGTGATGATGACTGATGCTAAATCCCAGGCTGAGAGGCGTCGAATGCTTGTAAAGCTGCCCTGTACAAAACCATGGAAATATGTTCCATTGGCAAAGGATCCAATTTCTTTGAATGGAGCCAAGGAAAACACTAAGCTGGCTGTTCTCTGGAGCAACACATTAAAAAAAGGCCTTGTGTGATCAACTTCCCTGAAATCTGGAGGTCCTGAGAGGGACAGGACCTTCTCAGACTACAGCCAGTCACTCGTGTGTGCAAAGCACTATGGGGCAACTTTGAGGGATATGGCCTCTCTTTTTGTAAATTCCATCTTTGGTATTGATTTGTGGACCAGTGTTTGTATTCTGGTGCAAAATGCTTTTCATTTATTTACTTTTTTTTTTTTTTTTTCAAATTCATATCACCGGAGAAGAGAGACTCCTGGTGAAGGCATTTCATACATTAATTGACAGTAATATTGGTAAAATTGATTAAAAGTACGGTATCAAAGTAACTTGCTTTTCCTTAGTCATCCTTTACTTCCCCCCCTGCCCTTGTCTTTGGGTATCCCTTCAATAAATGTGTACAGCCTCCTGAATAGGGCCCCTACAAACTCAGTCATGATTGACTGGGGAGAGAGGGGAAGTTGACTAGAGTATTTATCATTTGAAATGTTAAATAAAGAAATAGTCACTCCAAATATTGAGATGTAATGAAATTTTAAGAAGCTTGGGGTTTCTTATGTCACAACAGAAGAAAATAGCAGATGTATTATTAACTGAGAAATTAAGTAATTATTATAATAAAAATAGGTCTCTTCTGTTAAACCACTAGATGCCAATTCATCAGAATCTTAAGGAGCTACTTGCCATCAGAGCTGAGCTTCAGAAGAAGGTGGAAGACTTGCAGCGTGAAGCTGCTACACGATCCATTTCTTCATCATCAGCTAGAGGGTCGTCATCTTCTCACTCAGCCTCACCGGTGCGCACTTCTGTCTGATGTGCAACAGCCATGTAAAACCATTCCTGTCAGGTGATCAGCGTATATATGCTTTGAGGCGGGTGGAATATTTTCCCTGTCTCCCAAGGATTGTGAGTGACTTATAATTGCTATCAATCTACATGCCTTACTCTTTGTGTCTGTTTCTGTTATGATGAGGCCAAAAAGAGCTTCAGTAGTTGTGATGGTATTTTCTAAAGTTGGCAGTTCCCGTATGTGTTTTGACATCTCTTGCTAAATCATCAATTGTAAAATTAACTTTATTTTGAGCAACCAACAATTTAACCATCTTAAAAAGGAACCCATCTGTCAGTCAGATAATGTAAGATGCTTTTTGCTGCCTTGGGTACAGAGGCTGGTTGAGAAACCCAAATGAAATGCCATGTAATGTTTGTGCTGAATCAACATGGAGAGAAATTTACTGAATGGGAGCTCTTTATTTAATGCAGTACATTATTTTTATCTAGCGCAACTGCTAATATTCTTGGGGACATATATAAGTAATGCACTTTGAAACAGATTTTAAATTAAGTATTTTTCAGTGCAGCCAATTTTACATTTTGAGTAATTATGCCATTAAGAATGGATGGTAATGAAGGTAAACAGGATTTGCCAATTAATACACACCTACTGGTACTTGTATGATGTAATATATTTGGTAAAGCATGGATTTTAATTTTTAATGCCTTTTTTTACAAGTTTAAATAAATCTTTTGACCATTTATTGTCCTGTTTTACCCTCATGAATAAGGGGTAAGCTTAATCAGGTCTGTCTTGTACTCAGTAACTTGTTTTCTAGCAAGTGGTTATAATTTGGATTAGAACATCGAACCGTGTAAATTGTATAGTCTGTATAGTTCCACATATTTTAAGTGTGTCCTGTTAAATGTATACACACAAAATCCAATTTATGTACATGCATATGTGATGTTAAACATGCATACACTTGATTTGCATGTTATGGGTTCAGAAAATTGATCCAGCCTTTCCAAATGTTTTGGAAGATATAAACTGTTACAACTTCGATGTTTTTAAATAATAGGATCTTAATTGGTTTCCTTGAAATAATAAAGCCTGTTCGGTTGGGTTTTTTTTTAAATGCTGCCAACATTTTCTCTGTTTTCAATCATTTATCCATATTGTATATAAAATCCTTATTTCTCATTTTTTTCCAATTCCCCCCCCCCCCCCCCCAAAAAAACACCATTGTTGTTTCAGAACGTCTGATCAACGCCATTAGTGACATGAAGCCTTTTAAAAAACAATTCTGCAGCTGCTTTCTCAGCAGGCGTGGAAGTAAAACGTGCTTGAAATTCCCCTTTATTTTTTCCTTCCTACTTGACCAACGTTTCACAAGAATCCCAAGCTCCTCCTTTGAGTAGTCAAGATATCGTGACTTCACTTGCTGGTCTTGAACTGTATGATTCAAGTGCTGCTGGGAGGAATTAACCCTGTTTCTGAAGAATCGATTGGTTCTATGCACTAGTTGTAGTTCTTAGTGGATAGCCATTGTCCAGCTCTGCTGGGAGGACAAGAGACCCTGGATGTGGTTTAGGCTGCAACTTTATTCCTCACTGTCCAGGAGTACCTGGCAGATAAAATTGTACAGTGCAGGTAATTCCATACTTGTTTACACACAACCGGGAGGTGGGGGAAGGGCTGCTGGCAGCCCTCCCCCTTTATCCATCCAGGTCCCTAGCCAACCTGCTAGCCGCTCAGTTTAAGGCACCCTGCCTATACCCTGGGACATCAGCACCCCTGCCTCGAATTAGGTGGGGAGGGGGCTATAAAGGAGCAGGGGGTTAACTCCCTGCTATTCTAATCATCGGAGCCCTAACCTCCCTACCCTCACAGTTTCCACTCTAAATCCTGTATCAGTCCATTTTATCTGATGATGGGATCCCTTCCCTACAGAAAGAAAAGGACGACTTGGATGCATTCAGTGGCTGTAGCTCACGAAAGCTCATGCTCAAATAAATGTGCTAGTCTCTAAGGTGCCCCAAGTCCTCCTTTTCTTTTTGCGGATACAGACTAACACGGCTGCTCCTCTGAAACCTTCCCTACAGAGTGTCTGCACTGAACATGCACCACAAGGAGGCACCAGCAATTAGCTTGGCTGTGCAGTGAGGTCATTGTACTAAATATGCCGTTGTGCCACACTCCTTTTCCCCAGTTCTGTGCACTTCTGTACGTAACGATGCCATGTGTAACACCAACTGGTGAGTACTTCTTTTGCAAATGTGAGCTGTGTTGATAGAAGTTCTGTGTCCAGTCTTCTCAGTTCATTATACACAGTGTATGATGTTGCAATGTGTCCTGTTTATTTGTGATGGAAAAATTTTTATAATAGTTTATACACCTGAAGCAGAATGGTTCGAGAAGGACCAAGATGCCACATCTGTTAATCTAAATCGGGCCTTTCATAAGAGATCATTAAGATGGAAGATGGTTTTTATATAAAAACAACACTATAAAACAATATACCATCAGTGAATTTTATACAGTCAAAATATGTTGAGTTGTGAATTTAAACTCCTTGGTACTTCAAATTTAGCCTGGCGTTTTAACCGTCTACTGAAATAGAGCATGCTGTTTCTAAAATGAAACCTAAAGAAAGTAATTTGAAATTTTCTCTCTATTGGAGCTAGTGATCATGAAAGATTGTGCTCCATAATAACTGTAAAAGGGATAGTTGGAATAACTGTAGCACTTTCAGATATTAAACGTTATATGCTCACAGCTACAATGTATGGATTCATTTTTATACAGAAAAGTGTCACTCATTCTTACAAATAGTCTGTATGTGCCACAGGTTTCAACATACCCAAGTGACCCTGTCATCGCAAGGATAACATGGGGGATCCTCCTGATACAATAGGAGTAATAAGCAAAATTGACTTTATGTAGACACTTAACTCAGTAGTTTTCAAACTGAGGCTTTTTTGTATTTCTGTTGGTCAAAGTGTGGTTTTGCTCTGGAAAGTGACAAAGTGAAATGATCTCTCAGCTCTGCTCCCTTTGTGAGCATTCAGCATCTTATCCTTCTAAGTGACCAAATTAATTATTACTTTTTACTCCTGTTAACACAGTAGAGCCAACGCCATTCTGTGAGAGGGAGCAAGGTTCAGTTCTGACTGGTGCATCTTCAATGGAATTGTAAACTGTGTTCCAGTAGCTGGATCAAAATCTGTCCTCTGTTACACCAGGACAAATCTACTGAAGACAAAGGAAGTGTGTACAGGCATAGGCTGGCAGATTTGACCAGCAGAATCTTTTATTGCAAATGATGACGTACGAGTGGGGAACCACGTCTCAGGAAATCCCAGAATGGGTCTGAAGCACTGCTAGGTAGTGAAATCTAAACTCTCCAAATTTTTTAAGAAAAGGAGGACTTGTGGCACCTTCGAGACTAACAAATTTGTTTGAGCATAAGCTTGCGTGAGCTACAGTTCACTTCATCGGATGCATGATGTGATGAAGTGAGCTGTAGCTCACGCAAGCTTATGCTCAAACAAATTTGTTAGTCTCGAAGGTGCCACAAGTCCTCCTTTGCTTTTCGCAAATACAGACTAACACAGCTGCTACTCTGAAACCAAATTTTTTAAGGTGTCAGGGCAATACAGAAGTCACATTTCAGAGCTGAATGACACTTTGTGAAACCTTTTTTCCCCCTTGTTGGTTAAGTTTTGTTTTTTAAACAGAATTAAACACCCTTTCATTTTTACTAAACTGATAAATATAGTCTTCTCCAACTGTTCGCACAGCCCTCCTCCCCCGCAGCTATACCCTATCTCCCAGTCAAGGAATTAAGGCTGATATGATAAATGTGTTTATTTGCTTCCTTTTTATTTATTTATGTTTTATAAAAAAGCTATTCAGTCTTTCGCATGGATTTAATAAAGCCAGAATGACTGGCACTCCTAGGTGAAAATAAGGGCTAAGAGCTTTCCCAGTCCACAACTGAGCCCTATAAGGAAGACATCCAGCAGAACAGGTAAGGCAAGATGTGAAATTCAGCATATTTGTACACACCAACTTTTATATACAAATTCTAAAAGGCAGAAAAGGGTGCACCCCCATTTTTGTACGTGTCACCTTTAAACCAAAGTAAGTATTATGACTGCGCCAGAATTCTCCTGCCCATCTAATCACCTGCATTTGTTAGGGAGAATGGGCTTCTACTATTCTATATCAAAAATTACTCACAGCAAGTAGTGTCAAATGTAAAAATGGTGATATGCTGAGTCACCGTATCTGGGGCCAAAAAATGTAAGTTTAGAAATCGCCATTGCAGGGGAATTTCACATATGAGACATGGAGGTACAAATCCAAAGTCATGTATGCCAGAATTCTTTGTTCTTCAGGAAAACTCTGGATTCCAGACTGGCTACACTGAGTTGACCAGCGGAACGAGATGGGGCAGAGTTGAGGTTGTTAGCGTGACTTTACCAGTGCTTTTCCATACTCGTCAATTTTATCCTTAATTGCAAATTTTCAAGGTAATGTTTTTCTCAGACAATCAACACTGTTCTTAGTGTGAAAAAAATCCTGAACTAAAGTTGAAGTAGCTTGGCTTTTATGCAGGAATCTGTCTGTGTGTGTATGTATAAAATAAAAATACTTTTCCACCTTTTTCCTATTTTTGTCAAACACACAAACAAAACACACAGTACTAAAATGTCACTGTATGAGTAGTCTGTTTTATTCATAGTTTTCCAATGGTAGTTCAGCAATCAAATTCTGATTTTCCCTGTAAGCCTTATATGTACTTTAGCAAAATGAGTCTGCCTTTTCACAGCATAATACACAAATTTCATTTGGTACAGATCAATTCTGCCTTAGTAAACTGTATGCCTTGCTTTTTAAATGAAGATTTCATTCAAAGAAATAATTTACTCTTTATCTAATTTCATCCATATTGTTTCTGAACATCATTTGTCACAGAAGCAATTTTTAACAGCCGAGACTGTCTTTCCACTTCAATTCTTAATGTTTTCTTAATTTTAAATGTTTTTTCTCATGGACTAATTCCACTTTTACCACAACAAAATAAGTCATTAAGAATATGTACTATTGGGTTACATGAAAATGGGGGATTTTAACAGAGCGTCCGAAGGAGTCGTAAAAAGTGTCAAGTCAAAACCGAATGTCACAATTCTCGGGCTTGAAAGGAGAATTACAACTTTACCAAAAGAAAATGCACATCACTAATCCAGTAACAAACCCAAAGCTTTATGTGACTAGAGAGGGCTTCTTGTCAAGGATCCGTTTCATGTATGTACAGAACACTATTGGACTTTTCTCTAATTAGAAGTGGGCTCAGTTAACCTACTAAAGCAGGGTGGGGTGAGCACGTGGCCACAGCCCAGGCACTATGTAACCTTCTAGCAGGGCCTCAGCTATATTTTGGACTAAAAGAAAATGAAATAATTTCACTTAGCATTGAGCCATGTCACACTTTCCCTGTATCCTACCACTTTCGACTTGCAAATATTTTTCTCCAGATACTTTAAAGGGGAATGTGGCTGAGATCATGTTTGCAGGGTTTCAGTGCAGGGCTTTTTTTTAAGTTGTCACCTGTTTTTAATCATGAAGGTCTTTAGTAGGGAAGGAACAGCCCTATCAAATTCCCCTGGAGTATAAAGTAAAATATAACTTGCATCGTACTGGGAAGTGACAAATAAAAATTACTCAAGGTGCTGTACAGATGGTGGCTGCCCCTCCAGAGATTGAACAGACAAGCCAGAGATGAAGGATTGGGGGAAAGAATGCAACAAAAAATAGAGCGATTGTTCTTTACTTTGATATCTAGTACATCATAAGGGTCCTAGATTTGTTTGGATTTTTTGTCCAATTTGCTAACCTTTTTAAAGATAGGCCTGGGGCTAAGGCTTACTTTTTTTTAATGTAACATCAGGCGGTAGTCTCCTCTTTAAAGCCCTCCTTCTCCTAGACCCCAAATTATGCTATTGTAAACTTGGAACAGGAGTTCGGCCGTGCATATACATACTTTTTCTGATACATTAAGGCATAACTGTTTACCAGAATCATAGAAAAGGCTGTGGGGGAAAAAGCAGCTTCTGTGCAATCTACTTCTGAGTTCTCAAATCTGGTATTCTTCTCAGAGAAACTACTTTAAAATAGAAAATTGCTATATCTGTGAATTATTAACAGGTCTCAGATGTTCTAGTTTTTAAACACTTTCCCTGCAAGGGTTAAGTGGTCTCTCCTAAAGTAAGCAATCTTGAATACGTCAGTCCACTGTACAGTAGACACAAACAGGGAATGTACAGAGCAGTAATAGAAATGCAACAAAATATGACAATCTATACTCATCAAACCACCTTCTTTCATCAGTAAAAATGAAAATGGAATTATGTTCACTTGATCTACCCAAGAAAATGGCTCCTGGTGTTGTACCAGTGCCCTACAGTAACCTTTATTTCTAATATTATCTAAAAATGCTTTTATACTACAGCTTTCAAACATGTTTGGCTAAGAAAGAAAGAAACTACACTATTTGGAAATATACAGTCATATGAATTCAGCTTTGTGGCTTCGTTAGTGTCTGGGTTTCTTTATGTGCTCTTCGAAATTCTACAAACCACATTTCCTCCATCATAAAACTACTCTAGAGTACCTAAGCAAACTTGAATGCTGTATTCCTTGTCTATTTTTCCATAGAAGCCAATAGTTAAATGAGAACTTTGGAAACAGCTTATTACATTTTGTTTTGTAATACAAACACATTTATAAAACAATACATTTCTGCCTGTAAAGCTATTATAAGGCTTTTGATATGCATGTGTCAAAAAAAACAGAGCATAAGGAATTGTACAGCTGCTGCAAAACATTTACAATGCTACTAGGTAATTTCCTTTAAATTAGATTGTTACACAAAAATGTCCCTAGGCTTATACAAATACCTACAGGCAAGGCCCCATGTAAATCCCTTCATGAAAACTGAGTTTGTACATCAAACTGAAAACTAGACACTCTTACTCAGCTGCTGCTTCCCATTCACATAATGGGGAGTTTTGCAAAACATTACAAAATGTACGCATGTCCTGATTCTATAAACACTTTGTACCTTTTTCACTTGAGAAAGTGAAGAGTTTTCCTTTGTTTCAAAGCCTCCTTTTCCTAATTCAGCTAATTTTGAAAAATGTATTGGCATGTAACAGTGTCCACATGCAAGGAGCATAAAGAAAAAAAGAAGTTGTAACAAGTGATGGTCAAGATACCAGAGGCCAGAATCAATCTCAGTTACACTTCAGTTAAACAGGACCACAGAGCAGAGCACTGCTTCAGCTAGAGTACAGTGTCCTGTTAGTGGCCAGCATCCAATGCTTCAGAGGAAGGTGTAAGAAACCCCACAGAAGATAATTCTACATAACTACCCCGTCAGTGGCAGTTTCTTCCTAACCATTCTCGGAGGTTAGCTTATGCCCTGAAGCATGAGGCTTTATATCCCCCTTTCCCCCTGGGTAAAATAACTATGGATGTGCTCATCAGCCATAATAAATAGTTGGGTTTTTTAATTCTGCTAATCTTTTAATGGCTATCTTGTGGCAGAGTTTCACAGGTTAATTACCTGATCTTTTTAAAAAAACTCAATCAGTTTTAACTTCGCTCTCTCTGAATTCAAGTGGCTCCGGTGTTAATGAGATCTGAACCTGTCCCTAAATCCATACAAGTGTGCACAGTTTTCAGTTAATCTCAGCGACTATGCAGAAGTTTCAGTGTTGTCATAGCCAAACCCTGGAACTCGAGGCTCAATGCCGATCTCAGACACAACCATGTATGGCAGTGTGACCTGTCAAAATCCCATACCGCAATTATCTGTACTGTTATCTGGTATCAACATCAGGTCCTTAAAGGTGGGTAGAAGCCTAGTACTGTGAGATGATGTGCACTCTCAACTCCATGACTCCAATGAGCAGAGGCATTTGTTACCCCGCCCTGGCAGGGCCCCTAAATGAGGATCTACCCACAGGCACTTTATTTTTAGGTGTAGCTACTCTAAGGAGCAAAATCTACCCTCAGCTGCACACACAATTTTCATTGCTGACACTGCATGTGCCTAGCTGATAGCAGAAATTGGCTGGAAGTGATTTACAAAGGTTCTCGCATGGTTTGCTTTGGATTGTTATTTTACAGGCACTTCATCGTCCTCACACCTGTACACTCTGGCACTCTTTGAAAAAGACATTATCCCAGCTACTTGTCCCAAAAGTGAAAATCCTAACTGTCGCTTGGAAGGCTACTGAAGCACCTTTTGTTATCTTGTACACAATGTGAAATCAATCCTACATTTTTAAATTTGATGTAAACATACAACTCTTTACAAAAAAATAAAAAGACACTGACATTCTAGCCCTACAGCCTATATCAACAAGAAGCCACTTCTAGTCTAAATACACATTAAATAGCTTGGATCCAAATTAAATAAAAAGCTGAATTACAAGCGTGTGTGTGTGTCTGTCGCTGACTGATTCTCTTCCAGCCCAAGGCCATGCTTTAGACCTTCGCATTGTCTTGTGGTGGCAGCGGCTCTGCTGACTGTGTTTCTAGGGCTGAATATTTAACTGGAGGGGGAAAGAATCACCATAAATACAACAACATACTGAAGTATCAAAATAAAAGGAGTCAATGGAGGGAGGTGCTCTATGGCCTTGGGAAAATCCTTTCATTTCTGTGCCTACGTTTTCCCATCTTTAAAACAGGGATGATGCCTTCCTTTTGTAAAGTACTTTAAGAGCCATAGCTGACAAGCACTGTGGCAAAGTATTAAGGCCCATTGTTTGCAGGATCAGGCTCTGAGGCCCCTGGATTTATAAATCTCTTTCGTGAGTGCAGTAAGGGAGCAAGCACTGCTGTGGATGTTTTATGGAACGTGGCATTGTCTTCTGTTATATTAAATGCTATGACTTGCTTAATAGAGAAAGGAAGGCCTGGCTGACATGTGAGACACTTACAATGGGAGGCATGTACTGATGTTTAGCAAGAGTTGTGAAAGCCAGCATTCACAAAGATTAAGAGCAATGCCAAAAAAAGCTCTCACCTTGAGGTTCTTCAGTTACAACAGCTTCTGTGTTTTCTCCTTTCACGTACTCTGCGTTAAGACCCTCTGTGAAGTGATGATAAAGAGAGTCAGATGGGGAAGGAGACAGTATGGTATCTTTCTCACCAAATGCTAAATTATGCAGAGGAATGTTACCAACACGTGGGTAAAAGAAGCGGTTTAGAGCAAGCCTGTGTTATGTTTATAAAGCAAAATCGCACTTGAGGTTCCCAAACTTGTGGGAGTTGAGGCTTTAAATGCAAAAAAGTATTCAAAGTTTGCAGCAATTAGTAAGGCTCTTCGTTTCAGTAGCACATCATGCCAGGCTGGGAGCTGAGGTAGGGTGGGGAAGCCAAGCACTGTTGTGAATAAACTGAGGGAGCCAAACTCACCATTGGCAATAAGCCATTTAAATGGCCTTGACTTCAGTGGAGCTGGGCTCACTTCCACCAGTCTGGCCCAGGCTCTCCTAATTTTCAACAGGCTAGAGATACAGTATAGGGCAGAGGGGAACCAGCCATCCCAACCTGGCACTTCACAACTCTTGCCTTTCTGCCCTTTTATTCACAGTGCTTGCGTGAGTAGGTCGGAGGCATGACAGTACTGCAGCACCTACCTACAATATCAAAGGGCTCCATTGATTTCAATGGAGCAGCCCCTTCAACTACCAGCAAAGAAATACCCCAGGAAGTCTAGCAGTGAAGGGGTTACTTACTGGCATGTTTTCTTTAGGCCTAGTCAGTCAGCTCTATAGCTATGTGTGTGTGTGTATATACACATGTTGTACACACACCTTACAGGATTTTGCTGTGATGTGAGACCTGCTGAGATCTTAGCTACCCACCTAGTTCTGCTCATCTTTGGTCTAAGGAAGGCACTCCTACTATTTCATCCGCCCTATCCCCCGTACTTCACGTTCAGACGGCTGATTTGCTTTTCTACTATACACAAGCTCAGTTAAGGCGCAGTCCATAAGAGCGCTGCAACAATCCCCCTGCAGCTGAATGGTAACGGTCGAACTGAGCAGCTTGCACTGGGAACAGAGTTGCAAGGGAGGAAACTGCCAAACATGCTCAGTGGGTGGGGGAACAGGGTAAAATGAGGATTTCAAGGCTTAAGCAGGAGAGCAAACTGGGTGGAGATGCAAGGCCAGCTTTACCTTGCCCCTCTGCAGCTTTGAATGACAACAAAGAAGTCTTACCACGGAACACAGCCTCTGGAACACAACTCACACAACAAGCAAAGCTACACCCTACGGCCCTGGCTGCATTATAAACTTTCACCCAGTTTGTAACTGGGCACTGCTGTCATTTGTGTTCATGCACAATATGGTCATTACATGATGTAGGCTGGGATGAGGCTGTAATGCTGGTTTTAACCAGTTTGGCCAGCCTTCCTCCCTCCCAGTACTTGTGGCAGGACATCCCAGAGCACTGCTTCTTCTGCACGTCCGCTGGGCAACGTGGACCAACGCGCCATCTGGTCCCGCAATGCAGTGGTGGGGTGGATGCACAGTCATGGCTGGATATATGGTTGTGTTACTCCACCCTGTTCATTGGAACTGGATCTATGCCTGTCACACTGTGTACTTAGTGTAGACGGGGTGTCACATACAGCAACTAACAGCAACTAACAGCTTGACTCACTCACCTGGGATTCAGAGTAGGAAAATAATTCAGCGGGGCCTGCTAGGAGTGGCCGAGTCATTGCAAAGCAACAGTGAGGGCGCCCTGGTGAACGTGAAAGGCATGCCTGGGCTGCTGTTTAACAATGGTTTGAATCCACATCAGGGTTAGCCACCCTGACAACAAGGGACAGTAGACCCCCGGAGGCGTGGAGTTTTGGGAAAAGTAGATTCTGGGGGCCTGTCGGATACTGTATGGGGAACTAGCTTCTTTATTGGCCTAGTTCTATTCCCCTTGTGTCACAATGAAGTTGACGTGACTACTTGTGGGGGTCAGGAAAATGGGATTTAGCCTATTACTACAAATGGCAGAAAGCAATGGCTGCAGGGAACAGGACACACAAAAACATTTCAGTGTCTGCTGCCGGTGAGCAAGAGTACATGCTCATGGCAGTAAGAGCAGAGCAGAGCTAACGTTTAAAGAAAGACCCCATAGCTCTGTTCTTCCCCAGTGCCAGACCAGACATGCAGCGGCTGCCTGGCCAATGCCTCTCAGATAAAGTCTTGTCACAGCTGAGGGCTGGATGGTTTTATGGTTAAGGCACAGGCCTGCACCATGTAGATGTGGGTTTAAGGCTGAGCTTTTCCACAGACTCCCTATGTGCGGTGGGGAGGGCAAGACATTTAGGCCCAGCATCGCTAAGGCATTTAGGCACCTAACGCTCACTGAACTCTTGTGCCTAAATCACGCTCTGCCTCAATTCTCCGTCTATAAAATGGGGATATATTACTTCTCTAGCTCACCGAGCAGGTTGCAAGGACAAATGCACCATTAGGCGTAATAGTATACCCCGCACTAAAGAAACTATACCATATTAAATGGATGTGAAAGGAAATATGGCTAAAAAGGTGAAGGCATGTACACTGCAGGCGTGGGGAAGCCAAAATGCACTAACTTGGCAGATAGGATGGGATCCTTACACCTGGTCTGGTACTAAGGAAGATAGAAGTAGTTGCCAAACCAAATGGATGGTCAGGTATGTGAGTTCCCTATCACTCGATGGAAAACAACTAAGGCACTCTTACCACTACGTGTGGATGTTTGTTTCTAGATTCTGTGGGAACAGTTAATTCATCGCAGGGGGCGGAGGGGTGTTCTTTTAATGCTTTTTGGGGAAAAGCAGGTCACAAGCTGTAGGAAAGGGGAACAAGAGCTACCAGCAAAGTAAACATTTTCTTCTCTGCTGCTGCAGGAGGGCTACAGAATAACACAGCACAGTGTGTAATGGGAGGTGAGTCACAGCTAAAGTCAGTACTAGCCCAAGCAGCTACATAAAAGCTCCCACAGGTGAGCAGTGGGCGTTCGCTCATGGGTCAACACAGAGGCCTGGGAAACAAGACTCTTAGGTCCTTCTGTTCCTTGATCTACCCCAGCCTTGCAGTGTGATCTTAAGCCAATCAATTAATCTGCCTACGCCATAGCGTACATTGCCGGTAACAGTCACTGGCTGACAGGGTGGCTCAAAGCATGTGACATGTTTTGAGCCCTTCCCATGGAAGGTGTAATGTGATTACTGCTATTGGTGCGAATCACTAGAAAACCAATGACCAAGGGGGCTGGGGACAGGGGGCAGGGAAATAGAGTCTGAACCTGTCACTGCAGAGCAACCTCCTTTCCTCCTATTTGCTTCAATGGGAATTGCGGGCTCTCTCTGTCTCAGGCCCCGTGTGGACAGGAAGCTGTACAAGTGCAGTGTGCTGGCGAAAGAAAGGCCTTGCTCCAAATGGTGAAAGAGAGGGGTGCGAATAATGCAGGTGGTGCTTTTCAATGGAGCCAGGTGCCCAGCTCCCATTGGCGGTATGGCACCTAATTCCCTGAGGCTTCTTTGAAATTCCCAGCCTTACTCTCAGTCGCCTCTCGATAAGCGTGACCAGTATGTGTGGAGTTTTCCCATGTAACTGCTCAGTAGCACAGAAATACCAACATTGCTCTGCTTGACTATGTCCTGTCAGAACTCTCCTAAGACATCTTGATGCACCTAAATACCAAGGTGATGGATGTTAAAGGACAGAAAGGGGTAAAGGATATGGGGAAAACTTTGCATGAGTCATTGATAAAAACATGAGTGTATGAATGTTCCAGTCCAAATGAGATCAAAAATGCAAACTGAGCCCACCCCCCCTCACCACTGGACGGGCAGAGAGACACACACAGACAAACAGCCTAGTGTTCCTTTGTGCTACCAGCACATGGTCATTCCATAGCACAGCAGCTTCCCCCAAGACATGTGTTTTGCTGGGATAACACCAAACACAATTTATGTTTTTCAATAAAACGCCAGTTCTGCCGCAGCTGACTGCTCTCAGATTTCCGTCATTCATTGCAATGCATCTAAGGCCTGACATTATCCCAGCATGCCATGTCTGATGGCTTAAATTAATCCTCCTTTATAATTATCTTTAATTTCCTGCTGCCTTTCTGGGCTTTGCTTCTTTCGGCTTCCCTTTTATCAAAGCTCCTTTTTTTATTATTTATTCTTTCCAAAATATCATTTAAATGGTGGGGGGGGACGACAAACAAGGGCATTTTATTCTATCACATTCATTCGACTTTTCCTGCTGATCTAATTTTCCAAAACTCTCACCTGTTTGTTGAAGCCCCAGCCAGGAAGATAGCATTGTTTCAGTATAAGTTTCTGCCCCAATAAGTGAAGGAGACACTCAAGGGATTTTAGCTGATGAATTTTAAATTAGCTTTTCTGGCTATTTATAATAACTCCTTGGAAGCCCCGGGGCAGCGAGTCCCACCCTGCGGGCTCCAGACTACCAGTGTTCAAAAGTCAGCCCACAGGTGGTTAGGCTCAGTCCAGTTGCTACATCACATTAAAGACAGCTACTAAAACTACACCAAGCACTTTCCCCAGTGCTCTTCTCTATGTACACAACTGCTGTGGGGATGTTACATGACGGAGTGGGAGAGGGAGGCGGGTCAGGGGCCGGACAGGTGCATATAAACACCCACTCCTGTGACTCACACTATGGAAGGGTTTGAGAACTGTTGCCTAGGCCAGGCTCTTGCCACCTCTTGCCTTGGATTCTGCATCTCTGTCCTTTACCATCTCCCATTCCTCGGTCTCCAGCAGCTGCAGAATGCTGCAGCTCACCCTCTCTCTCACAAACGAAGGAACTCGCCTGCCCAGCCTCAGAGACAGCCGCATCCCTTTCAGAATCCCCCACGTATTTCAATGTCCTCCATGGACCTCCCCATTCTCTCAGTGACCTTGTCTCCTCTCCTTCCTCCACCTGTGCAGTGCAAGCCCCTTCCCGACAACCTAGCTGTGCTTGGTGCAACTGCCTTCTGGACAGCAATAGCTTCTTTACAAACCTCATTGCAAAGTTAACCTATATTCCCCTGCCCCCCACCCCAGTAGCTACATCTCGGTACGTCGCTCGCTGCTGTTATTACTTAACTCTACAACTATGTTAGCTAAGGAGCAGATCCTGAAAAGTCTGTCCAGATGAAGGAACTTACAGGATCAGGCCCTAATATTGTGAAGTGTTCACAATAAAGATGCTTTACAGAAACAGAAGGTGTTGAAGTGTAATCCATTTCCCTCCTGAAATCGTCTCCTTCCGCTTTGCTTTTTTTGTAGGGTTGCTTGCAACTGCTGGCTTGCTACATTCATTATTTTCCCCATGGGAAAAGAATGGAAACGTTTATTTTGAAAGGCAATCTTTACAACTGGACTATACGAACAGATGCCTGGAAGGAGGAAGAACCGGAGGCTATTAAATACAATTATGTGGCAAGCAATACTACTATAACTACTTCCTTTATGACTCCCACTGCAGGCTTTTTCCTTTTATAGGAACTTCTTTTTCCCAGCATGCCTTTCTGGGGCTAGTCCTTTAAATATGACAGAGGCCATTTTGGAATCAGCTGCTGCTTGCTGTATCTCCCTTCTCTACCTACTGGTAAGTTTTCAGTTCCAGTTATATTTACTCTTTCTTATTCCTCAGTCCATGGTATGTTCCTACGTCATTCATTGGACACTACAGTCTGGACAGATTCTACCCCAAGATAGTCTTAGACTGTAATGAAATGCTGTAGAGCCAACATTTTAAGCTGGAAGAAACTTCTGGCTGTTTGGCTTATGCTGGTATCCTGCAATTGAGTCAGGACTAATGTGTGTGCGTGTTCAGTCAATAATTCCATGTGCAGAGGCAAGGGAGCAGCTGAGTCCCCTCATTTACACTGGCGAGGGGTGTAGCTGCTGGAGGAGCTGCTACCTTTATCAAATGGTGGGTTTGAATAGTTTGGTCAATTAAATGGTTAATGTTATAAGAAAAAAACCCTTCAGATCCAGAGTTCCTGCATGGGGTGGAACAAAGCCGCCCCTTGCAAGAGCTGGAGCTGATACATGCTGTTTCAATTTAAAATGAATGCTTTATCCTTACAAAATTCCTCTGCCTGCTAGTGAGCCAGGTTTGTGGGGTGGGGAGGTGTCCTCTCCCCCTCCACAGGGATAATTTCAGACAATAATAACATTTCAGACACTAATAATATCCAGTCTACCCCACCACTCTTCTTGTTCCTGAACTTCCCAAGGTACAGCTCGGCTCCTGATGCCATGCCACAGAGAGATTGTGGAGGAGGCCTTGGGTGTATCTCACCAATTATGCACAGAGGCTTGCTTCCCGCATAGACCCTCTCGTGTTGCCTCTGCTCCCCACTCCTGCCTTTCCCCCACCCATCTCCAGTGTAATGAGGGAAGCCCCTTCCCACAAACCCTGGGTCTTTTAGCTACCTAGCATGGAGAGCCGCAGCAGGGGCTGACAAACAATTTGGGCCTCCTGGCTAGGTACACAGCCAAGCAGCACCATCACTCCCATGAGCTGATGCTGCTGGAGCTCCCGTGCAAGGTGGGTACCACAGCCCTGAGATTACTGCAGCCTCAGGGTGCGTTAACGTCTCAGAGGATTCCTAGTGGGGCTGTCCCACGGCAAATCCCTGGAGGGTTCTCCCCGGGGGCCGCAGCCCCCTTCTCTTGCACAGAAAGAGGGAGGGTCGCTGCACCCCAGGTGGACCCTCAGGCGAGGTGCTCAGGACTGTCCTGAGCACCATCCCCCTCCAAGGGGCTTTCCTCCTCTTTCCCCAGCAGGCTCTGTGCTCTGCTCAGAGCGTTTGAACCACTTACGTTGTATGCTGAAGCAAAACTTCTTTTGCTGATAGGAAATGTAACTAGAGACAGCACCGATCAATGCCATGGCAAGAGCACTGGCTATTCCTGCTATTGTCCCAGTCTCGGCGGTGGTGCCTACAAAGCAGAGGAGCAGATGTGCTTAAATACGTCTCGGGGTCCAAAATGATTATCTCCCAGGTCTAGCTGTTCTCTCCCTTCCCCCAGGTCACCTGGGCTATTCTGCAGACTCTAAGACTGGCCAGGATTTATCATCCGTAGCCTCTCAAGCAAACTAGTCTGGGAAATGTGGTGGGCAGGGGGTGGGTGTTCACGCGTGTCCATCGCTCAGAGATGCTGTGGTAGCAGGGTCGGTCTGGGGCTGAATGGAGATGGGCTTCTGTGCACCACTACCTACCTGCATCGTAGTCGCTGCCACCTGAAAGAAAGACAAGGGGCATTAGGGCTGATGCTGCCAGGATGGGATCCACATTCATTGGGGCCTGTTGGGGATCAAAGCCAACAGCAGTGCTTTTCCTCATGCGAGGGCCTCAGGTCTGCCCCCCATCACCTGACTGAATCCACTGCTGTAACCCACAGCTGCGCCCTGCAGCCTGCCCCACCCAGGGTGGGAGAAAGGTGGACTCGCTCCACTCCCCCCCCCCTCCCACTGCAAATGCATCCTAGAGCTGCACATAAAACAGTGGCTGGGCTCTCTGAAAGCTCCCCTGTTCCGGAAGCGGCCAGCCAGCCAACGCGGCTCTTGAGTACAGACTATGCCCTGGTCTACAGAGTTAGAAACTGCTTACATCAACCTAACTCTGTAAACGTCTACACTAGAATTTCGCTCCCGTGGACATAACTCACCCGCTACACCGACTTGACTCCGCCCATGAGCGGCGCCGAGTCAGTGTCTACGTAGTTAGGTCAACGACACTGCCTTGGTTACATTCACTGTTGTTGGCTTTTAGAAGCCATCCCGCAACGCCCCACGCTGAGTGCCGTCAGTGCAAGGGCTCCCGGTGAGGACCCGCACCGCCGACACACAGAGCGAAGTGTAGACACGCACAAGCAATGTAATTACTGTGGTGGCTGCATGCCGACATAGGTTAAAGCGACAATTTTGAAGCGTAGATGTGCCCTTAGAGACCCAGGACCAGACCAGTTTGCTCTTTTGTGTCCCTGTCCCCGCGGAGCCAACCCCCACCCCGAGACATGTGGACAAGAGAACCTGGGACAGAAAGACACAATGGGACAGGCAGGCGGAGTTGGGGGGAGGAGGAGAGGAGACCGAGAATGAGAGAGGAATTGAAACCAGGCTGAGAAGAATAGGCCAGGCCCAGTTGCCAGCCTGTCACCTACTTAGTCCTTGCCCTGCAGCACCAAGCCCTTTCGTGCCAGGGCAATGGGGGCAGAGCGGGCAGCAGGGTGCTCTGCTGTCACCGCAGCCCTGCTGCACTGGCTCTGGTGGACAGGCAGGTATCAGGCACTGCGGCGATGCCAGCAGCTGCTCTGGGAGGCAGATGCCTGGTGCTTGCTCCCCAGCACAAACCGCTCCCCTCCCCGCCAACTGCTTGCGCTGGCTCCTCTGCTGAACCTGTGTAGCATGCATGGAGGAGACACCCCCACACACACCCGCTCCGCCTTCTCTCAACAAACCAGCCGCTAGTGAAAGCACAGCCCACACGCAGACACAGCTACCTTGCTGTGCTACGGCTGGCAGAGCCAATGTAGGCTGTCTTCACTCTGACAAACTGTGGGAAAAGTAGCATACAGTAGTGACTTTGCTGCACAATCCTAGTGGAGACGTGGTCCTGTAGTGTTTACTGAGCGGCAGCTAGGCGAGGCTGACCTCATGGTAAAGCCACAGGTGCCATGTCTCCATTAAGGTTTTATGTGCATGAGTTGCCCTGGCTGAAAACACACCTGTCTTGGCAGTGAAGACAGTCACAGAGAGGAGAAGAGCGGGGTAGTACTTTCTTACTACCATCTCCTAGCACAGCAGGGTAAAGGGCTGCCAGCCTGGCCCAGGATCCTCAAGCTGACAGCCACCTTCATGATCCTACTGTGACTTTAATGATTTTCTCAGTGTCGGTGATGGGTGGGAGTAGGGGGTAACATTTGCAAGAAAGCTGCAGTACAGAACATGCTGTTGTATGACTGTAAACCTGCACACTAAGGTAACCCTCGTATTTAATTAAACAGCTGCTGGCTCAGTAACACTGTGTTAGGCTGTAAGTGGAATTGATTATAAATTTAGAGCTGTGCCATCAAAGGCAGGCTTTACAATTGCTTGTGGCTTCATTTATGTGTATCTGCACTTGAGTCTAGAAATCCCGGCTTCCTTTGAGACAACGCCAGGGTCACTCCAATAAAGGCTTTTTGGTGCCAGGCTGTGGGTGGGCGATGAAAGAGGGACCTGCATAATGAGAGATGCCTGCAACACACGCAGCTTGAAAATGTATACACAGGGGAAGGGGCATGCAGGAACTGATCACCCTCTGTTCTACTCCATCCCTCTGGTGACAGGCTGACTTAAAACAGTTCAGCCCATTAATCAGCCTCACACTTCTCTTTCATGGTACCTCCATTTTCTTATGTTCTGAGAACTAAGGCACTATGAGTTATGCACGTGTGCAATGCGGGTGGGGAGAGGGCAGTGTGTGTGTGATGCACATGAGTGTAATAATTACTGGCTCAGTGGGGCCAAAGTCTGACACTACACTGGGGCCGTAAATCTCTAGTCAAAGGAGAAGATCTGGCTGGAGGTATGAAGAGCTAAGTGGCTTCCCCCTTTTTCCAAGGATTAATTAGGTCCCCACACTGACATAGGTACATGCAGCAGAACCTAGTCCTACCAAGGTCTGAGTACCCTAAAGCCTCATTGCCTCCAATGGGAGCTCAGAGTGTTCAGCACCTTGCAGAATTGGGCCCATAGCAGCTGCTCAGAGATTTGACAAGCTGTATTTAGCAGGCATTTATACCAAAATGAGTAGACTCTCACATTCGTTTATTCCAATCGGAGCCAAACCAGTGACATGATTCAGTACCCAGGCAGGAATCCTGGTGAGAATTCTCACATTCCAGCAGAGAATCCCAGCTGTGATGATCCTTGTTGTTTTATTGCATCTTCTACAAACTGTGAAGCAGTGACCTTTATTCAGGATGCACTTCGGTACAATGGGACCTGTGCCACAGACCATAGCTCAGAACCAGAACCTGGCTTGCCAGGCCTATTCATTCTTTCGCCATAAAGTGGGATCAGTTCCAGGGATTTGATGACTCTTCCTCTCCTTTCTCTTTGCTTTTGTTGTGAAGACTTAAGACATCATACATACTATCAGAGGAGCCGCCTTAAGTGGGTAGTCCTTTCTGTAGGGCAGATGAGCTCTCTATATCCTATTCCTGTACTAAGCAATGGTTTGCGAAGTGACGACAAAGGGCTGATAACTGACATGCTGTATGGAATCACACAGCACACTTGCACTGTCAATAGAAAAATGTGCAACTAAGCTCCATAACGCCAAGCAATCTCTACTTTGCCTGACACCTATTTAAACCCCCTGCTTTCCCTGGAGAAACAGGGTTAGGAGGAAAAGTTCCCTCCAAAATATACAGTTAAATCACTCTAAATAAATCTTGAATTTATGGAAGCGGGTCAGCATAATATTAATTACTCCAATGCAGTTTGTCTTTAGCGCAGTTTGTTGACTGGGCTGGTGGTATTCATCTTTTGAATTTCCCTATTTTAATATTGTGGATCTTCACAAACATGCAGCCTGATGTCTTCATCTTAACTCTCAATAACCAGTAGTGAGTGGTAGAAAGTTGAGGGAAACTTTTATCTTTTCTACCATGAGAGGCAAAATGTCTGTATTTTCAAAATACTAGTCATGAAAGCCAATTCCCCAAACCAGTTCCCAATGCTGTGGGACTCTTGTCCTTGACTACACTAGAAGTTGGATCATTCCTCAGAGGACTTTCCAACCCATAGGTGAAACCAGTACTTCCTAACTGATGAAGAAGGCCTCACCCAACACCTGCTGACATTAAGGAACATTGACTTCAACAGGAGCAAGAGCACATTCTGACAGTAGGTCATTGCTTGGGGTTCATCCTAGAAGGAAGATGCTATCTGGTAAAATGCAACTTTTGGAAGTTCAGTTGATATCCATTAAAAATAAAATAATCACTCCTCAAATAACTTAAAGCTAATTAACGAAACTAATTAGTTGGGGGCAATGGGGGAGGGGGAGCTAAGTCATAAATTGTAACTGTTTTTGGAGTTAAAGAAACCAATGGTCCAAAGGTTTTCTCCTTCCTGCCAGTGGGCTACAAGTTTGTTCCTTGCCATTTTCCTCCTCCAATGTCTCGGTGGGTAATCCAGATTCACGTTAAAAAGGCTACTCTGGAATCATGCCACAAAGGAGAGGTGGCTGAAGTGACCTGTGGACAAGCTTAGGGTGGCATTCTTTATCAGCAGAGCTGCTCTTCCCTCCTGTACTGCAATCGATGGCATCCATACAGGACACAGTGCTAATAAGGGAACAAATTCATCTGCATAGGTTTCTCTTCCTTGCATTCCTAAAACTTCCCCTGGTCTTGGAGGCCATAAAGGCTGCAGATACCCTGCGTTCCTCTCTCCTTTGCTTTGCTGGGATGAAGCTAATGTGCCTCTTTGCCAGAGCAAGCCATGGTCTTTCCCCGTGGCCATAATACACTTCTCCTTTGGCAAATTTCCTAGCTTCAGGCTAGTTCTATTGGGAGCAGAAGATTCAAAAAGGAGTCACATGCCTTTCTGGAAAGTCTCACTACAGAAGTTTTCAGCTTCTGAAACTACCTCCCCATCAACTTTCTATAAGCCTTGCTGGCAGTAATGCTTTTCCATCTCCGTTCCATGAAAGGCCTTAGCATGGTGCTTGATCCTAGTCTCTGTTTCCACCCACATCTCTTAGCTCAAGGACCAGGACTCGCTTGTGTTGTCTGTTAGTGATGCAAGGCTCTACTGCAGTGATTTAAGTACAAGAATTTACGCACGTGACTCCTTATCAGTCTCATTTTCCGCTCCAATTTCTCCACTGCCTTTTGCGCAGGGTGCTATACTAGATTAGCTGCTCAGATTATATTACAACTGCTTTCAGTGGAGCAAGAGAACTGGGGAAGGCTGGGGGGTGGAAGTGGGTGTGAAAGTCTTGCACCTGGATTTGGCTGCCAGCTGCTGAATGACAGATTCATCCATACTGGTAGCAGCCACATCATGGAAAACAGATGATTTGGGGACTATAACCAGACACTGCAGATGTAATTATAGGTGACTATAGCACACAGTGCAGGTAATTATATCCGGCATGAATACATCATGGTACCTGAGCATAAATTAATACCTAGGCCATTGTGTTGCTTAACATAGTAACAACAATGAAAGAACTGATAAATGAATCCATCTTATGTCTTTTGAGACTAGTTATTCTGGATTTAGATTGACTTCACTTTGTTTCTCTCACAAACAAATGAAAATGAATGCTGTAGCAATATTTAAAAGATCTATTACCGCACCTAGCACAATGGGACTCTGATCCTCATCGGCGCATGTAAACGCTACCACGATGTAAATAACGATGAAATACCAGTCTGTCCACTCACTACACCCTCTATCTCAGTTCTATCACCATTCCTAGTCTCCAAATGGAAGGGTCATACTGTGTATTAACTGACCTGGGGTATAAACAAACTATAATGGACTTGGTCAGCAGAGTGTAAAGACCTACCTTTCTTCTTATCAGGACGGTACTCCCCATCGTCCAGAACCCCAGCCAGATCGTCATCTGAAAATGCTAAAAAAAAAAAAACCGCAAACAAGATGTGCTGACTTCCTGTAACTTAGACATTGCAATATGTTACATATTCAAGGCCTTTTATTGAGTAGTTCAGCTATATCTACTAACCCTGGTAACCAGAAAGCTCTCTGCAAAACCATCCAGAAGGGTTGCAGGTGGCACTGTTGTATTTGTAGAGAGTAGGAGAGGGTGAGAATCTGATAAGCATCAGCAATTAGACATCTTGCTGCAATGTTACTTCCCTGACAGTGCCCACATTGTGCTTTGGGACTGACAGATCTGCTGGGACATGCAAAAGGAACAGTGTCTCTTGCTTACAAATCTACCATCTACTACACAGCTATTCACTTAATGCCACATTTGACCTGCATCACTTCTATCTAGATAATATAATTTAAGTGCAGTCTGTCTTCTGAACTGAACTCCATAAGTATCCCAACTCTGAATTCAAGAAGAGCTCCCATCTGTGTGGACATCTCACCGTTTCACTGTACGCCAAGTTCAGGAATGGCAGAGATTAAGAGAGTCCCACTGGTCTATTGTCTGTTCATACTTTCTATTGGTAGTCATGCAGTACTTGCTTGGGTCTGGTACATAATTGTATTCATAGAGGGGCAGATTTTCTCATTTAACTAGTAACTGAAAATATCAGTACTGGTTAGTATGAAACCACAAGACATGGGGGGCTAGCATGCAATGGGAGGACAGCTGGTCTGCCAAAAGGATTAGTTCAGCAATTTCTCTATCTACTCCCAGATGCCTTTCATTGGCTTTATCCAACTTAAGCACTAGGGCCTTATTTTTGGGCTGATCCAAAGCCCATTGAAGTCAATGGCATTGACTTCAATCACTTTGATTCAGTCCTTGCAGAAGTCTTGAGCACCTGCTGTTTGCGGGCAAGGCCAATGCTCAGCTCCTAGAAAAAGTCAGGCCCGTAGCTCTTCCGAAAGGTTCTCATTGCACTCGTATCAGCTGGTACAAAATGGGCTCTGGACCAATTCTGGTTTGTGCAACCCCTGGCTGCCTATTGAAAAAGTCTCCTATGGAGCAATGAGGAACCCACTTTCAGGCATACCAGGTCTGCATAATTTACATAGGAGAGGTGCATAAAGTCTCTCAAAAATCAATTGTAAGTGAGCTGTCTCTGAAAAAGCCTCCTCATCCAAAAGTCCAGAGGGGAGTGCCCAGACCACTAGGGTGGGGATGTCTCAATCCCTTTTGCTTGAAGTTCCACTCTGTATAATTAATTCAATATTCATTGGGACAGAGAAGGACAATGAATGATTCTATAACCCAATGGTCAGGTACTTCCATGGGATAGGGGACACCTAGGTTCAAATCCCTGTTCCAAACCAGACAGAATAGGGACATGAACCCAGATCTCTTGCACTCAAGAGAAGCGCTCTAACCACTAGACTATGGAATAGAAGGGTAGCACCACCATTTTTTGTGAGCACAGACTGAATGACAGACACCGGACTCCGGGAGAGGGTTCATGGCAGTGAATCCAGTATTAGGCATTTAACTCTCTCTTGAAGGGTTGGGCTTAGGCCCCAATTCTCTCCTCCTCCTCATTTCCTATTGGCTACCTTAGGCAGCTCCCCGTTCAGTATGCTGGATTCTGTGAATTCTTTTGATAGGTGTCCAACTCTCCCTGTGCATTATTTGCGGAGTCTGAGCACTTAATTTGAGATTGTGAATCTGGGTTCCTAAGGCTTTGTCTACACTACAGGAAAATTCAATCTAAGCTACGCAATTTGAGTTACGTGAATAGCGTAACTCAAATCGACGTAGCTCATATCTACTGACCATGGGATCCACGCTACTTCTCAATCCGGTGGCATACAGGAGTCGATGGGAGAGCGATCTACAGTCAATTTAGCGGGTCTTCACTAGACATGATAAATCGACCGCTGATGCATCAATCGCCACACGTAGATCCCCCGGTAAGTGGTAGACAAGCCCTAAGTTAGGCGCTGCACTGTTCAGTATTACAACACCTAAATCCCCCTTGTGAATCTAGTCCTGATGGCTCCTGAAAAGTACAACATGGGAACTGGAAAACAGATGGTTTCCTCGAAGAGTTAAGAATATTACATGTAAGCTACAAGCACATACTGAGCATCCAAATTGCATCCCACAGGCTTGGCAATATTTAAGGAATATTTTCTCCCTCAAACAGGACTTAACTTCCTTGCTTGTTTCAGCTGATGATCTTTATTAAACCTCTCTTGCTTAAAAGTACCTCAACAGACCGTGTTTAATGAAAATAAATATGGAGCCAATTTTAAGGGTCACGAGGTCTGTATTTCACAACATATAGTCATCAGACTTCATGTACAAGAGCAGCATAAAAAAGACCTTCAACCAGACTCCAGGCATTTTATTTAAGGAATAAGAGCTGGAGGCAAAAGGGAGCTTTCAGCAGGTTGTTACACTATCCCCATTCCAGCCCTGGTGGAATGCTGCTGTGTTCCTCTAGTTCTCAGCTGGTGTACAGTCCCTTAGGAACTATTGTCAACTGACATAGATTAGAACAACCCCTAGGCTGCTCTAACCAATGTGGCTGTGAAGGGCAGAGCATAACGACTCCCTGAGAGCCCCACCTCTCTCTTGTACTGAGCAGATCTTGACAGAAAAGGGTATCTGGCCTCTCATCATGGGATGTTACTACATTTGGCTTTTTTTTTTTAAGTGTTACTGTAGTATCTCCAGCAGAAGGATTGTGCATGAACACATTTCTAACACAAGTAGCTGAGATAAAATCACTGAGAAAATAAGTTTAATACATGCAAAATTGAAATGGAGAACTACAAGACAGTCCTGAATTAATAAGAAAAATAGTGTAGATATTCAAACCATTAAATTCCCAATTTATTTTGCAGATAGAAGAGGAGTAACAGAAGTTTTCAGTGCTTAGTAAAGCGCGTGGCGGAAAGCTGAGATTCATAAAAGGAAAGAGGTACGGCTGGGAGCCAGTACAAGACTCCTTACCCTGTTTTCCACCTCTTGAAGGGCTACCTTTACCTTTCGAGCCTGGAACAGGATTCTCTATTCATTAACTGATCACAGAAAACAGCATTTATGGATTTAGGATTTGCAATAAGATTAAAAACAAAACTAACAAATTGAATGGAGGCCAAAATGTAAGTTGTACCAATGCTGATTAAGACTGGGTATACATTACCATGAGAGCGTCTAGCTTTTGATACTTGGTACTGACACACTGACTCTTTAAATTTTCCTGAACAAGTCTAATATATTTAAACAAACCTTGAAATCTAAGTACTTGCAAGACACCTAGCTAATAAAATCTCATTAATTACACAAGCTGTACAGTAGTATTCTATGCAAAGGCTGTGCAAGTCTTTTCTAGATTGGTGCTCAAGGAACAATAACTGCGGACAAATGAGTCTCCACCTGTAATATTTTGGGAATGGAAAGAGGCCTCCCATCCCAGTTAAGTCCAGCCCATATTCTACATTGGGCTGGGAATTAAGACTGCTCTGGATTTCTGTGTCTTGGTAATGACGAAGAGTCACAAGAGCATGTACCATTCAGCCAATAAACTATCAGGTAGAGACAACATAGCAGACCTGCCAGGAGCTCATGAGTCAGAGGGAAAATAAGAAATAAAACAAGGGGACAAATACGTAAATGTGTAAATAGCCAATGAAAAACTAGGCAAGTCCTTTAATACAAAATATATTATCTCCCTTTAATTAACTCTGCAATAACAGATGTTTCCTCTGTTATGGGCTTGATCCTTTGTTATGGACTTGATCCATTGACTTCAGTGGAGAAAGACCTGAATTTGCAGAGCCCTATTTGGCCTTCAGGTATGTGTGTGCCATTCTAAAGAGGGGGAGGGCGAGTTTGTATACTCTATCCAAGGGAATAACTTGGCCTGTCATGTTTAAGGGAATGTCGGGGAAATGCCATAAATTTACATGAGGCTAGAGGAAAAACTACTGCTTTGAAAAAGTCAATCTCCAGCTCTTGCAGCTTTAAATCTCTCCACTTCCTCCACCTTTGTCTGCAGCAATTCATTGCTTAAATGAAAGGATGCACTAAACAATGAAAACTACATAGCGACTTGATGGAGGGATGGGAAGGGTTCTTCATCTAATGTAAATCAGCACAGGCTCCACCGTAATCATCTGAAAGGGAGGTGCCATCCCAGGGGGTCTATTCTGTTCTTCCCCACTGTGTTTTACATTCCCCCGAGTCATAAGAAAAAGGATAAACAGCTTTACGCTGCAGGATCTAGAGCAGAGTAAGAAAGTTAATCTACATACCTTCACCAGGTTTTACATTTGGTTTCCCACCGCCTTTCCCATCATTCTGATCATCTAGTGCATCGGATAAGTCAAAGTCCGCAGGATCCTTTGCTATAAAATACCATAGTGGTTACTATCTTGGACCAAGCGTTCCAAGGTACTTAATTCAACACTCCTTGATCTAATCCCTTAGTTCTGACAAAGGTTCTTAAGAAAGAAAATCCTCAACCCTGTCAGACAGTGTCAACGGGAAAGATGAAGTAACTGCCTTTTTTTATTTTTTTTTTTCAGTTTAATCATATAATATCATGGGATAGGGTGACCAGATGTCCCGATTTTATAGGGACAGTTCCGATATTTGGGACTGTATCTTATATAGGCTCCTGTTACTCCCTACCCCCTGTCCCGATTTTTCACACTTGCTGTCTGGTCACTCTATCATGGGAGATATTTGCAATTCATTTGGTTTTGTGCTCTCATGCTGGTGTTTTGATAAATGTCATGTTCTTCTTGCAGAAATTGTCTTGCATAGTGGATCAAATGCCAGGAAATCATATAAATCAAGCAGGAGAGAAAAGGGCAGAACGAAATAGACAATTCTATGTGTTCAGAGTGTGGAAATAAGGTGGAGGGGGGAATCTTAAAGGGAAAGGAAGTATTTTCTGAGATGCACCTTTTCTGACTGAAATAGTCAGTAATGGGGGAAAACACACTGCTGTATATCCTGAGAATTTAAGTTTAAACAGAGAACAGCCTCTTACTATGTTTATTAAATGACTACTGCACAAATGTAACTCAGCTAATTGCATTTCTTGACTCTTTCACTGGCGGGAAAGTAAGATTGTTCTCTCAAAGCAGAGCAAGATTTAAAATCACCAAAACTCTGCCCACATCGCCTGGCAAAATGATTAGCTAAGAAATAGTGCTTGGTGTCCATTAGGTTCCAGAGTCAACACCTCATTGAAACGCATGGGAGAAAGTCTCAGCGACAATAATGTTTCAGATTATCTGTCTAGAATCTTGAAACTAAATTCACTGCTGGAGTAACCAGGTACAACTCCACTGACGTCTCCACTGACTTCAGTGGGGCACCTGAAACAGCACTTCATTGCTTTACATCTGGAATGTTTTCTTCACAGCAGTCAGGGCTATATACAATTTGTTAGTTTTGTTTTAAAACGCAAAGTAACTCTTCCAAAGTAGCTGGTGCTACCAGAGAAGTGCTGCTTGAGCTACCCAGCCAGGACCAGCTCAGTGTGTCCATGGGGTAAAGGTGGATACACCAGACCCCCTACTTTCCAGGACTATTGAGTGAACAAAATAAAAGTAGGATGAAAATAAAAGGGGCTGGGTATAAGTGAGGCAGAAGATGATTGCTGGGAGAGGTTGTGGCTTCCACCATTTCTCCAGTTTGTGCACTGCTAGCTTCTCCTCCTTTGGAACTAGCTCTTGATGCCCCATGTACCACTCAAGAACTAGCACTTACCTGGATTCTTTTTGGGTGGGGCCTTGGTGGTTTTTGGCTTCTTGGTTGTGGTGGTGTGGATCACATCCCATAAACTAATATCATCTGAAGGAACAAAACCACAACAAAGTTACATTACAAAAGCCCACCACCTAGCAGGCCTTTGTAGCTCCAGCACATCAGACTGGGGGAGAGGGGTGCTAGTACAAACCATGGGCCTGTGCTACAAAGTTAGGACCCTCCCATAGCTCTAGTGCTCTGGGGTTTGCTCACCTGAGATTAGCAGACACTCCTCCCTGCAATCCGTTCTGCGGAGCTACCTTCAAGTACCCATGTGCACAGAACACACTAGTACGTATGTCTATTAGAACACATGCCATGATGGCTGTAATTGCTAAGGTCTGAGGACACTGCTGAGTATCACAGGACTGTTGTTGTTGCATACATCACTCCTTCTATGAATTCTGGGAATGGGTAAGGGAGGCTCATTTTAAACTCCAGAGGAGTTTGGCTAGTTCTAGTTTGGCTCATTAGCAATTCAGTAACTCCTCACTTAACGTTGTAATTACGTTCCAGAAAAATGCTACTTTAAGCAAAACAATGTTAAGAGAATCCCATTTCCCCATAAGAATGAATGTAAATAGGGGAGGGTTAGGTTCCAGGGAAAAAAATTTTGCCAGACAAAAGACTATATTTTATTTATTTAAAACTTATACTCTGTGTGTGTATGTGTGTGTGTATATATATATATATATATATATATATATATATGTATGTATATATATATATATATATATATATATATATAAAATTAACAATTTAATACTGTACACAGCAATGATGATTGTGAAGCTTGGTTGAGGTGGCAGAGTCAGAAGGTGGGATATTTCCCAGGGAATGCCTTTCTGCTAAATGATGAACTCAGCTGAGCCCTCAAGGGTTAACACGTTGTTAATGTAGCCTCACACTCTACAAGGCAGCAAGAATGGAGGGAGGGGAGACAGCATGGCAGAGAGAGACGGAGACATACACCGTGTGTGTGAGAGAGAGACATGCGCATTGCCCATTTAAGTACGCTCATGCCACTCTAAGTACACTGCCCTTTTAAGTAGATCAGCAAGTTGAGACAGCAACTGCTGCCAGCAAGCTCCCTCCGTCCTGAGCCCTGTCGTGTCCCTCCCACCCCGCTCTATGGAGATGGGATAAACAGGGGACGGGGGGAGGGGAACATCCTGACATTAGCACCCTTCTTTCCCCCCACCCACCCCCACCCCAGCTGCACAACAAGCAGGAGGCTCGGGGAGCAGCTCCAAGGCAGAGGGCAGGAGCAGCATACGGCAGAGGGGAGAGGGACAGCTGAACTGCCCAGCAATTGATAGCCTGCTGGACGGCTGCCCCACAGGGAATTTAGGGGAGCAGGGAGCTGATAGGGGGGCTGCCGGTCCACCCTGGTTCCAAGCCCCCACCAGCTAGCTCCAACGGGCTGCTTTTTCTGCAAGCAGTGGACAAAGCAGGCGGCTGCCAAACAACATTATAAGGGAGCATTGCGCAACTTTAAACGAGTGTGTTCTCTAATTGATCAGCAACTTAACAATGTTAACCGGGACGACTTTAAGTGAGGAGTTACTGTACTGTGCACTTTTGTCACCCAGAGTATAATGATGATGATTATAGTACATGGGCACTCCATCAGTAGAGATTAGATTCCAATGTGAGTTGCATTCAGTGCTGGAATATCCATTATCTTCTGCCCAATGAGGAGGGACTACCACACTTAGTTAAAAAGATTATCCAATGGTTAATATTGTGCATTACTAAATCTCTCTTGTAAGGGTGTTTTAATAGCCAGAAAGGACTCAGTCATGGCCCCAAAGCACTGTACGGACACTAAAACTAAGTCTCCATCCCCCTTCTAGGTAGGACTCTAATGCCAGCATTTTACAGATTAAGTGATAACACAATAAGTGTTTGTGCGAGCCAGGTCTCCTTGTTCTGAGTCCTGTGCTCAAAACACTAGGCAATGCTTCTTATGGTTACACTGACAAGCAGTTTCCTTCATTCACACCCCAGAGAGGAATCTTGAGCAGTGGGATGGTCTGTATGCATTCCTACAGTGCCTCAGGGAATGCGGTATTACCTGGCTTCTTTGGATAGGGTTTAGTGGTTGCCTTTCCTGGTTTTGTTGTAGTCTCCAGTGGGGTGTCAAAGTAGTCAGATAAATCGAAGTCCCCTATTTTTAAAGGGAAAAAACAAATCTCACCATTGTGTAAACAGCATGATTCTGTCAGCATGTCTCTGCTGTTGAAAAGCTTTCTGTGACTGCACCAGGCAGGCAATGCAAACCATGCAACATCAACGTGAAGAGCCTGCACTGTGCAGGTCTATTATCTGCAGAACCTTATCAATGGCCCTGAGCCCACATGTGGCCCACTCCTGTGGCCAACCTCCCAGGAGCTCTGCAGCCTTAATTCCCTTTCTTAAAGGCAGCATTAGAACAATTACCTGTAGTGCCTGCTGGGAAACATGGGCTCATGGCTGCCTTGTCATTTCTCACACAGAGAAATTGTACATAGAGATCAGTGTGTCTTAATCAGTAAGATACAAAGATTCACAATAGGTCAGCTGAGAAAAGGTGTCTAGATACCCCAGAGCTCTGCTTGTTAGAATACAATCCCATTGCAAAACTTTCAGATTAAACTGACTACAACCTAATTTGCCACCTTATCTCCAAGATCTGGACCTTTTGTGCGTCCTGGACCCATTGTACTGCAATGGGGGGAGGGTTATCCCCTTCCTCCCACCGATGGTCTCTTACAATGGACACACAATGCTGTGAGAAGTGTTAAGGAAAATGCTTGCAGTTGTCAAGGCAATACTGGAAATGCAATACAAGGAATAACTTAATTGCATGCTTTCCCAGAAAAGGGCTTTCTTTAGAACAGAGCCATCTTGCTCATTAGAGCCAGAAATGTGGTGTGTGTGTGTTGTCCCGTCCCCCGCCCCTTCTAGGGTTGAGCAAGTTACATGTTATCAAATTGGAGTGAGGACAGAAAGGGATTTCAGAATCTAATCCACTAGAGAAAGCTCAGAGCACAGGACAAGCCGGAGAATGGAAATGGCACTTTAAAGGGAGGGCTGCCCAAGAACATGAAGTGCCTTGGCACATCTGCCAGGCTGTGTTCTGAGGGAATCTCTGAAGGGCAGAGCTCACTAAAGGGAATTAGTTGTAAATGCCCATCTAGCTTCTGGAACAGTGCTAAGAACCTTGGCTGTGTGAACGATTTCACAGCAGGAAAAGCATGCGGAAGCTAGACATGGAAACTGGAAAGACTCAGGTCAGAACAAGAAATGACACCAACTGAATAAGAATACTTTTTAAAAAATGTTCTGGGGCAAAGGAGACGAGTTCAAGTTCTCAGCAAGGCATCTTGAATTAGACTTCTCTCACCAGGGACTGAATCCAGAGCAAGCACTCCGTGTCCGTATGTTAAAGGCATGTTGAGATATACAGCTGGCTGAATCCCAGTGTTCATAGTTCTTATCTACAGTGCAATTGCTATTTACAGAAGTGCACTATATGGGAAAGCCAGATGTGAACTGTCAGCTGAATGCTAGTCAGTCTGCTAAGCGCAAATCCTACCATGCAACTAGCAGTTCCCTGCCACATATGAAAATAAAGTTGGCAGACTGCTCCTTACTACCAACCCTGCACCTGCATCCACTGACCAAAAACACGCGGATTTATGGGGTCAAATCCTAGCCACATTAAAATTAATGGGACTTTTGCCATTTACTTCAATGGGGCCAGGATTTCACACCATGGTGTCTTTTTCTAATGTGGAAAACTTACTGCTTTTGAAAAATGGAACATGGTGTGACATTTCTGGATCATGTATGGCGATTTATTATGCATGCCAGGACTGGTGCTGGATCATAGGCAGGGACCAGTGATAACTGTCTATCTAGGTTCTTGTAAGGTGCCTATCACTGTAGTATCTGAGCTGGCTACTGTGAGCTTCTGAACCTTCTCCTCCCATTTCCCATTAATACACACCTTGTGCATCCGATGAAGTGAGCTGTAGCTCACGAAAGCTTATGCTCAAATAATCTTGTTCTCCCTGTATATCTCTTTGCTCACGAACAGTTAAATGCAGCTGCATTGTTCCCCTCTACGCAGTGGTTGGCTTTTGTTGGGTACTCGCTTATGGTGTAGTTCTCTTCTGGCTTTTTGTTCCTCCTTTATTTTGAATAGAGGAGAATGAAACTGAGCAGGAGCAATGGCTTCTGGCTTCCTGATCCTCCACAGGTTCTGTGCTAGCCCTGACCCTGATATATCTTAGAGCAGTGTCAGGGGCTATGGCTGCCAGAAGTCTGTCTGGGCTTGCCAGAGCTCAGACCACACCCCAAGATACCCGTTCCACAGGGGGACATAGGAGCCAGCTATGTTGCTTTCCCGCGATTCCCTCATCCTGGGGGAACCACTAGATGGCCAGTTACGCTAGCTTTCCCATTCCTTTGCACCACCAGAATGGAGGGAAGGATCTGGCTCACAATTTTTCATTCCGATAGTTTTGATGTCCCCCATCACGAAGTTTAATCTCTTTATTCTGCTGGAGTTGTTCTTGAAGCTCAGAAATATAGTTAACACTCAGCAGATGTTACATGACATTGTTTCCACCTGGGTCTTCCTGGCATTCCTAATGAAAGCCATACTGGCCAAAGGGTTAGGTTGGGTTTGCTTTGGCTAGTGAGTGTGTTCGTTTCTGGAGCTCTCTCGCTTGCTGCAGTTTATTTCAAGCTGACGGGCTGAGCTGTTACTCAACTGGCCCGTCTACGTTTCAGCTGACATTTGGCTGGAATTGAGCTGGAGAAATTGCAGATGGTAAAACTTTCACTTCATTATGAAACCAAGCAAGTTTCCTCAAATGGGTCCTGAGCAGATGCTCAAAGGTGTCTGTATCTAATCAGCAAGGGCATTTGAAAAGGCACAGAGTGGGGGAAGTGTCTCCTCACAGCTAGTTAGAACTACACTGTTTCAACAGAGATTTCCTGTGTCAGGGATAATCAGAAACACGTACAAGAAAAATGAAACTGAGAATAGTTTGTTGTGTTTACACACGGAAGGAAAGAAAGCGGCTGCCATTCTTCAAGCAGGGAACATATGAGGCAGTAGGGCATTATTACTGTGGAAACAAAGGCACAAAACAGTTGAGAGACCTGCTGATTCCTTTGTGACCTTGGGCAAAAGGGCTGGGAACTGAACCTAGATTTCCTGAGTCCCAACCCAGGGCCTTACCCACACGTCCATCCTGTGCTACAGAAGCAGATTTCAAAAAAGCTTAGAACAGTTTTGAAAAATGGCATCTATTGCACTGTACGTTACACAGTCCCTGCCCAAAGAGCTTGCATGTTCTGTGTTTGTGCAGCACCACACACTGTGGGGTCCTGGGCCAGGACTAGGGCTTGCAGGTGCTAAGAGAACACAGATAACATAACCGCGTCCTGCTAGCACAGCTCTTCTAAACCCTTGGTAATTGTAGTCTTGATGTGTTAATGTAACAAGTCACTGAAGCCTCTGAACGTGGTAGTTCCTGTCATGTGCACAGGGCTTGGGGCACATCTCTTGCATGTGCACAGTTCCTGTGGTAACTGCAACTCTGACCCCCTTCCTGGCTTGCTTGAGGGGGACTCAGGTATCAGGCCTCTAGCCTGAGACAGGAACAGGTCTGTCTCTTTCCCTCCAGATTGAGGATTTCGGCTGCAATTTCCTCCTGCTGCTCCCTCTGATCATCTAAGGGCTTGTCTACACTTACCTTTTAGAGCACTCTAACTTGCTGGCTCAGAGGTGTGAAAAATCACCCCCATGAGCGCAGCAAGTCTGAGCACTTTAAAGTGCTAGTGTAGACAGGCTCCGAGCACTGGGAGCCGTGCTGCCAGCGCTCTGAGCTAATCCCCTCGTAGAAGTGGATGACCAGGAGCGCTGGGAGGGCTCTCTCCCAGCGCTCACGCGCGACCACACTCACACTTCAAAGCGCTGCCACGGGAGCGTTCCCGCGACAGCGCTTGGAAGTTTCCAGTGTAGCCATGCCCTTAGCAAGCCTGAACTTAGGGCAGCACCTACAGTCCTGTTCTCCTGCAGAGACTAGAAGCGGGTGCCCAGCAACCACCCAGCCTTCATAAAGCAAAGGACTTATTCAGAACCAACAGCAATACAGAGAAAACATACCTTAAAAACAAACAGCTTATTCACATGGCTTACCAGATGACCTCCATCTTCCACCTGGAGCCCCTGTCAGTTCCTGGTTTGACCCTCCTCTATGTAAGACCAGCTACCTCCTACCACTCTCAGTTCTTTGCTTGCTAGGCCCCTTGAATCCACTTAAGTATATGCAATTTCACCCAGAGAGCGGTACAAGGTATGGGGAAACTGAGTCACGTATTCTTTCATAAAAAATAAATCTGAGGTTTCCTAGTTCTCCACAGCAGCGAATTAACCCATTGGTTAACATGAATGTATTCATTATTTTGTTTGAATGATAAATCAATAAGGATCCTCACCTGTTCTGCCCGATGGCTTTTTGGGCAACTTGGGAGGAGCTGTGATTTAAAAGAAAGAGGGGAAAAACTTAGTTACTAGGGTTACTTGGAAATTTGTCAACTATAACTTAGAAATAAACTACAAGAGCTTATTCATCACAGGATCCTTATGCCCCATGTGTGATGTGGAAGATTACAGGATGCTTAAACCACGTGCTTTTCAACATTAATTAAATCATGGTATGAACTGAAAACCATTGTTTTAGCTCTCTTTTATACTTCATTTGCAGACCTCACTCAGGCTCTGATCCTGCAAAAATTCATGCAGGTGCTTAACTCTAAGCATGTGAGTAATCCCACTGAAATCAACTGGACTATGTACAGTTAAGCACCTGTACAAGATCGGGGCCCACGTGCTGTTCACACCAATGATAGCATTGCATGCACACAGTCAAATTCTGCCCTCAATTACCCTAATGCATGCTGCTGTCCACTGTAGCAGAGAGCGGAATTTGATCCCCTGTCAAACCATGTACTTCAAACAGAGACTAGGCAAATCAACTGCTAACAGTAAGCCCACCCCGCGCCATCCTGCAAAGCCGGCTCCTGTCCCACAGGGCTAAGCCTGGCTCTCCACTCCAGGAATCGTGAGGTCGTGGTGTCACTCAGGTTTGGCCTGGGCACCCCTCTGTCATGGCATGCAGGGAAGGGGAAGTGGGGAGCCAGCCGCCAGGCCATATTTGAGTGAGTGGTGGTGTGACCTGGCATATGGGCTCTTGGCAACACTCACTCAAATTTGGCCTGGCCACCCCTTCACCCTAATGACAGAAGAGCAGGTTGGCCAAACCTGAATGGTGCTGTGACCCCCGTGTGCCAGGTCACCATGCCCAGAGTGGGAAGCTGGCCCAGCCCTGTTGTGCAGGAGCTGCATCTGAGTTTATTAAATCATGGACACACCAGTCTTGGACAAAATGAAGAATCATAGTATCTGACATTTTGACCACCTCCCACTCATCGTGATTTTCCTGTCAAAACGTTACTTACGTCGCTTGGTGGGAAGGTCATCCAGTGCATCTGACAAACTGAAATCATCCAAACCATCCCCATATCCTACAGACAAAGAAGTGGTATTGGCTTTACTCGTTACGCCTGACGTACGCGTCATTAAGCAGTACAGAGCCATTTGACATCCGACCCATCTATTTTTCGCCTTCAGAATCTCCTAGGTGCATTTCTAGGGAGAGCTCTCATTTGCTCATGCTTACTCCTGTCATCCCAGAACTTCCACTCCCACCTCTCATCTGGCATCTATGAACTGAGGATGGCAATCCTTTGTTCCTCAAGGGGTTGGCTGCCCTGGTGGTGCCTTGGAGGTTCCCCCACTGGGGAATTATAGGAAGTAACTCCCTGGTCAGATAGGCCTGGCTCCTCGCAAAGCTGCTTTTTAACCATGCAATGCTTTTAGCCACTGAGGGACCCCAAACTTTTCGCAAGCCAGAATCTTCAACCCTCCCCAGAGCCAAATTCCTTTCTATGCCCAACCTCCCTGTAGGACAGGGACTCCGGACCCCATGGCATCACCTCCAGCTCTCTGTGGGGGAGAAGGCAGAGCCTGACCCCATGCCCCACTAGGTTTGCCTTTAGTTTGCCAAATGCAGAGACTAGGTGGGTGGCGATTCCTCTCCCATCCTGTTCAGTCATTCACATTCTCACAGCCCATCAGGGGGTTACAGATGGGAGAGAATAACTCGCTTCCCCCCTTCCTGACTGTAGTCACCTCTGCAATCTCCCAAGCAGCTGTGGTGTGCTTTACTTGGGTGCTTCCCATCCTGGAGTTGGTATCATTGGTTTGGAGCTGCTCCTTAACTGCCTCAGTTTCCCTTCTTGCAGCTGGGGACTCAGTCACAACCATGCTCTGCGCTGCCTCAACTTCCTTGGTGTGGGCAGGCAAAGGGCTACCCTCCCTCCCTAGCCTGGGGGACAGGACTCAGGCACTCAGTAAGACTCACCTCTTAGTGGGAGTGGGCGGTGGCCTCGTCTCCTCCAGGTATCTGTTTTCATACACTGGGAACCTGAGCTTAACCCTGCTTTCCCTTTGTTATAGGCAGGAGGAAGATGACTAACCCCCACCACGCCCACCCTTCTCCCTGTCAGCTACTCTGTTTGCATTCTGGCTGATCATTTCATACACATTCTTATGTACATTCCTAGTGAATTGTACGGGTCGGATTCAGACACTCTATCATCCCAGGAGAAAGCTGGATGGGTTCTAAAGCCATAACCTAACTTCCAAGAAGTACGTCAAAAGGTGTTTCATTCAGGATCCCAACCAACAGCACTCCTGCCCCTTCCTGTGTCTGCACCGAAATCTGGGCTGCAGGCAGTGCAAAGGGCTTCACACCAGGAATGGTCACCCTTTCAGCCTGTGATGCGGTTTTGCTACACAGGGTTTAACCGCTATGCTCTCTGTTCCAGAATCTCTCCATCCCATCAATGTCTCTCCATTAACTCCCACCAAGTTTCGCTCCCACTGGGAACCCAATGGATCTGCACCGAGGAGAATAGGACTCTGTGTGACTCCTTCCCTCAAGGGGCTTGTCTGAAACAGGACTATATTAACGTGAACTCGGTACCTTTAGTTCATGCTCGCAGGATCTGTGCAAGGCTTCAGTGCATGCTGCAATTCACATCCCCGTAGGCTCACTGCAGGGCCATGTAGACAAGCCCTCAGCCGCACAGTTATCTGCAAGGTTTAGCTACCAGTGGCTTTTCCAGGACCACACTGGGCCTCACTGGGTGCATTGGGCAATCCTGGAGGAGGTGACTCAATGCTTTTCCCCACTCACCTTGGGGTCCTTCTGAGGTGGCCTTCCTCCCACTCGAGGAGGTCTCCCAGGTGGGGGTGGATTGCTGCTTGACCCTGACCCCTTTTCCCGGTCCCATTCCCTCCCTGTTAGATTTTTTTTTAATTAAACCCAGGCCATCTAGTCACATGATCAGCCAGTTTCTCACCTACACATACTTCCCTAGGATTTTTGTCTGTTAACCATGATTTCACGTCCAGGGAGCAGAGTTTATAGAACTGTTCCAAACTCATTAACTCATAAGCTTCACTATCTGTGCTAATTCCCCCAACTAGCTCCCGTTTTCTTATATACATCCTAATTTGGGTTGCAATATCAGCACAGTTCATACCCTCTTTTTTTTTTTCTGAATTCCCAAAAACTTCCTTCGTCACCATGTTCAATTCACACCCAATTTCAAGAGCATTTAAAATAAATTCATGTCAACTTCTTATCTAAAATAAGATAAGACGTTGGGGTACGTCTCTACTGCAATAAAAAAACAGGGGCATGGCTGCGGCTGGCCCAGCTCCGGTGCCTCTGGCTTCGACTGTGGAGATGAAAATTGCAGTACAGATGTTTGCGGTCAGGCTGCAGCCCCAGCTCTGGAACCACGCAAGTGGGGTGGGTCTCAAACTGAGGCTCTAGCCCTATCTTGAATGTGTATGCTGCGATTTTTCAGCCCGGCAGGCTGAGCCCCTTGTGCCTGAGTCATCTGACCTGGGTTCTGAGACTCTGTCTAAACTTTTGTCTTGCCTTATTCCAACTACAGTGGTGTCTCCACGACTTCCTGGGCCTGCTGGACTCTGTCAGTGATCTGGGTGTCCCTGATAGTCCTGGATCATAACTCCTTTTCTGGTCTTCTAAGGCACAGCTAGTTGACCTGCTCCTGAGAGTTTAGCTGTGTCCTTCTGCATGTCTCAACCAGCTGACCTTTCTTCAACTGTTCACACCTAACCTTTTCTATTTGTCTCTCCCTATTCCTATCCTAAATAGGCTATGGGACACTGTGCTTTTTCCTTCAGCAGTACTTGCTGTCGGGGCTGTTGGCGCTTACTGGAAATTCACCACTGTCCTTGATCCCACTTCTACTACCATATATGTCACAGATCCCAAAGTAACTGTACTGCTGATCCCTTCATGGCCTCTTTGCGGATGCCCCATTCAGGTCTCAGGCCTTTAGCCATCACCTTTCTTTGGGTAGGAACAGGCATTCCCCTCTTTTCAGACACTGGATTTATGCTGCAATTTCCTCCTGAAGCTGTGTACACCTTAGCAAGTCCAAATTTAGCTCAGCACCTTCCGTTCCCAGAAGCTATGATACGGCTCACCAGTGACCACCCAGCCTTCATAGGCAAAGGATTTAGTCAGAGCCAAAAGAATTATAGGTTTTCTCTATCTTGGAAACCATGAACAGCTTATGTGTGCCTGTCTTACCAGGTGTCCCCATCTTCTACATAGAGCTCCTGGTAGGTTTCAAAGTCCTTCAAACCCTTTCAGGAGCATCCGTCCCTCTTGGTTACTATGTCCTGTTGGTTCTTGCTTCAGATGAGTGACACTGCCCTATATCAGACAGACCACTTCATACCACTCTCAATTCTTGGTTTTCAGGGCCTCTTGATCCCAGGCAAAACCAGTATATGCAATTTCCCCCAGGGAGCAGTACTTCCGCACACCTATTTAACTGTCTACAGATTTGCATTAATTACTCCTATAGCAATTTTAGTTTTTGATAATTCATTCATGCTTTAGGTGACTTTCTCACCTTAACTCCACCGATTGTCTTGTTTCAAGAAAGAAATTAATGCCTTCATTCCTGGGGTGGGTGGGTGGATGGATGGATGTACATGTGCCATTATGAGGTATGGGGAAACTGAGCCACGTTCTCTCTTAACAGTAAACCAGAAGTTTCCCAGTTCTTCACAGTAAGAGAATAACTCATTGCTCACCATAAATGTTTTCAAGAGAAACAACCCATTACTCTGAATGATAAATCAATAAGGATCCTCACCTGTTCTGCCTGATGGCTTTTTGGGCAATGTGGGAGGAGCTGTGATTTAAAAGAAAGAGAAAAAAAACTCAGTTACTAGTGTCACCTGGAAATTTGTCAACTATGATTTAGAAATAAACCAGAAGGGCTTATTCATCACAGAATGCTTATACTCCATATGTGACGTGGAAGATTACAGGATGCTTAAACCACATGCTTTTCAACATCAATTAAATCATGGTATGAATTGAAAACCATTGTATTCACTCTTTTATACTTCATTTGCAGAACTCACACAGGCCTGATCCTGCAAAACTTCATGCAGGTGCTTAACTCTAAGCATGTGAGTAATCCCATTGAAATCAACTGGACTATGTACAGTTAAGCACCTGTGCAAGATCAGGGCCCACGTGCTGCTCACACCAATGATGGCACTGCACACACAGTCAAATTCTGCCCTCAATTACCCTAATGCATGCGGCTGTCCAGTGTGACAGAGCAGAATTTGACTCCCCTCCCTGTCAAACTATGTACTTCAAACAGACTCAGCAAAACAACTGCTAACACAACAGGACTCATCCAGCACATAAAGCAAATAATCATCCTGAGAAGATGGAGGGGCCCTAAGTTTTATTCTCACCTGCTTGGGTCTCTCAAATCAATGACATTAGAAGATCTACAGTGCACCATACCACATCAAGTAACAGATGGTTATGTTTTAAGGAAAGAATTTATCTTTCATTGATTTCTGGTCAATGAAATATCTGGTCAATGAAAATATCACAACTCCTGATACTGTCAATATTGTGGCAAGATGCCAAAGTGTGTGTGTGTGTGTGGTGGTGGGGGGAGGTTAATACTGTAAGCCACTGATGATATCTGTTAGTAGTAATGGGCCATGTTACCTTGAGTATGAATAAAATATGAACAAAAGATGTGGTTACCCTGTTCCTATTAATTTCTGCCTCTGATCTGGCAATATTTCCAATGGTGTGTCATGATTTAAGTCAGCTAGCCGCTTTCAGGTGCTTGCTTTCTGCTGCTTGATCTGTTCAAATCCAAGGACACAGTTCAAGATATGTCTTGACTTAATAGCCCTGGGATTTTGGGAGGTTTGCTCCCTTCTACCAGAACCACAGCACTCCAGGTCTCAGCGTTTAGTCTGTAGGCTGGAGCAGTGTTCTCCTGCAGCAGGTGTTAAGGGGTCATTGTGTAGGGGTCTGCAGGGATAGAAAATCACACAGGGGAGAGATCCAGGGCTTGCTACATTCAGTCCTCAATCAGTATGTGATAAGACTTTACAGTGATCACTGGTCTAATACCTCATTATCCGTCATCTTTCTAGTGGGATGAAGTATTCATTTCTAGCCCTGGCAGATTACAGGTATCTGATCTGAAAATTGCCCCATTCAGATTATGTGCATTTTTTCTTCCCCATGTGAATTCCAGTACAAGAAAGCAGAAGCTAAAATAAGCCCTGCTAGAGCCTGAAATCTGTTTTATGCTGTAAAGCAAGGGATTTCAAATCTTTTCATAGCTTGGATCACATCTTTAATGGGGTGTCACCAGGGCACATCACATCCCATTCACAACCACATGGACCCACCTCCCTTTCAATTCTCAGGGTGTAACACCTGCCCTCCTCTTCTCAGAGCTTGTCTACACTTGAAACACTACAGTGGCACAGCTGTGCTGCTCGAGTGCTTCAGGGTAGACCCTACCTATGCCAATGGGATGGATTCTCTTGTTGGAGTAGGTAATCCACCTCCACAAAAGGCAGTAGCTAGGTCAATGGAAGAACTCTTCTGTTGATCTAGCGCTGTCTACACAGGGATTTATGTCAGCTTACTGTGCTTCTTAGGGGTGTGGATTTTTGACATCCCTGAGAATGTAGTTAACCCAGATCAGGCTCAGTCATAATGACAACTTGAGTGATTGTTTAGATGGCACAGTGATAACAGGAAGATATTTGATGTATTTTCAGCTGACTTTAGTGTGACATTGCTACAGGAAACTAGCAGAAGCAGCACCATGTGAGCAGTTAGCTGCCTCTGAATCACCAATATGTGGATCAGCAGTGGTCTAAGGACTATAATGTGGGAACCACTGCTTTAAAGCATGTGTGTGTGATGGGAAGCAACACATTAATAGGAATGCCATGATTTTGTAGTAGTCTTGTATCTGACAACTTGCCTTGGCTTGGACTAATACATATGTTTTCAGGACTTGGGGATTTTTTTCAAGTGCTCCATCTGGAACACTGATCAGAAAGGGGAAAAAACTGACCCCTGAATTCTGGATATCTTGATGGGTTTCAAGGAGACCTCTGGTAAAAGTAGAGCGGTCTTTTCCTCTGTAGGCCAAATCCTCTGCTGGTGTGTATCTGTGTAGCTCCATTCACTTCAAAGGAGCAAACTATTCACATCAGCTGAGGACTTGGTCTACAGTTTCTGCACATCATGGGACACATTCTTGTATATTCAGGCAGTTGCTACTGAGGTCAGTGGAAGCCACACAAACCCATTCCAGGAGAGAATATGGCTCATCACAGTTGTGTTCTGAGAGCTGTACAATAATCTATGCTGGTTAAGGTATTAGATATGGACTTATTTTCTTAACGTGTCCATAAATGCGTGGAGAAGAAATGAGAAGTCCTTGTAGAAGACAGGATCAGGAACACAACAGCCTTTCACGCTGTGATTGGTTCCTTGTATTTATTTATCAGGGCAAAGACTATGGTCCAGAGTCTGTTCTGGGTAAATCAGAAGTGCTTCCACTGAATACCAGAGTTGTATTGGGGCAACACTGACCAGAATCTGTGTAACTGTCTATTCTGTGTAAAATAGTATCTAAGGATTAGCACTGTCAAACACTGTGCTCCTGCAATAGTGTCACATAGCCATGAAAGATATTAAGCCATACCTTAACATAAAAATAATTGAGTTTTCTTTGCCTTGTCAAGTGCTAGATAAGATCCCCCCCCCCCCCTTAGAAGTGATCTGCTCTTAATGATGAGATACAGCAAAAATAACTAAAATAGGTTATTTTCCCTAGATCCTGATTAGCAATGGTACTAATGGCTCACTGGATTTTTAAACGGGATTTGGAATCCCAAGAAAAACTTAATCTACAGAAGGAAGCTTTGCCTGTTCAGATTTTTTTTCGTGTACAAAATATCTATGGCATGAAACTACATCACGAATATTAGAGTGCTAAGCTAGTAAAAGTACTTTGAATGCAGCCCAATTGGAGTGCTCTGTAGAGATGGTATAAACAGGGTAAGAACTTGTCACTGGATAGTGCTCTCCCACTGCTGCATAAGCTTGAGTGAAAGTGGTGCTTTTTTTGGTGACTAATTTTTTATTGATTTTAATAAAGAAACATACAATGAAAAGTACAAAAAGTAAATGACTTATGTTTCCTGTGGTACACGCAGTATTTGGATACCAAACAGAATTAGGCAATTAGGCAATTTTACAACTTGTCAAAGACCAAACACCACAAAACCAGACAATATCACACAGACATAACATGTTAGGGTGAGGTCACAGTAATAGACTAGGAGAAGTCATGGATGAATAGCCAGGAGGGAAAGAGAGATGGGGGGAAGACGGACATGGGAAGAGGCAAAGGGGTTACGTGGAATGGAGGCCTCTCATGCTTTGAGCCGTCTTAACACTTCCTTTTTTTTATCCAACTGTATCTAGAGACGGGGTCCAGACTTCTTTGAATTCATATAATTGCTCTATACAGCAATCAGCTAGTCTTTCTTTGGCTGTTAATTAAAATAAATCTGAATACCGCTGCTCTATTCTGGATATGTCTACTCTTCCATTTTTGTAATATTATGCAGTTGATCATCTATTTCAATTAATGAGACCTGGATCCTGTGACAATGTTCTAGAAAAATAGTTTTCATTATACCCAATGAGCACTAACCTCCTCTACAGCAGAGGTCCCCAAACCGTGGGGCACGTCCCCCTAGGGGGGCACGGAGGAACATTCGGTGGGGTGGGGCCAAGTCAGCCCCCACAGGGGGCAGAGATGGAGCACCATCCAGTTCTACTCCAGCTTCGCCTGGCCCCACGGCTGTGCTCCCACCCCTAGCCTCAGCCCGGCCATGGTTCTGTTCCCGGTCCTGGCCTTAGCCCTGCTCCTGGCCCCAGCTCCATCCCTAGCTGCAGCCCCAGCCTCAGACCCCTTACTACTGTCTTCATCTCCCCAGCATGAGCCGTGGCCCCATTCCTGGCCCTGGCTGGGCCGGGGGGGGAAAGGCACAACGCTGAAAAGTTTGGGGACCACAGCTCTAGAGATTGCCTGGTGGACAGTTGTGCAATGAAATGACTCTATTGGCAGGACACTCCTTTACACTATGCAGCATGATATGGGACATGCCAATGCAACTGAGCCAGTCATGTCACATTGTTTCATCGCAACTGACTTGGAAGGGCGAGGTCATATTTTTACCTGGAATCCTTACAGAGGAAAATAATTTGTGCTTTATGCTGTTCGTTGTGAGATAAGTCTATCTGAATTATCTGGACAGAATTCAGAAGGTTGCAAAGGGGGTTAGGAATAATCAGCCAGGTGCAGAGAAAAATGTGAGGTTGAAGGCAGTATGAATATTTCTGAACACCTCTACTCTGTGAACAAGCAGAATCAGGAAAGGAGAACAGCATATCGTGTGCGCAAAATGCTTCTTCCAGCCATTCATAAATTCTCTACAACAAATGCAGCCACATAGTGTTCATGGGTGAAAAACTGACCAGAATTTGTCCCCAGGCCTATTCTGTGTAACAGAGTACCTGAGAACTGGCTGTGTTAAACAGCTGGGCTCTGCAATGTCACCTAGCCATAATAAATATTAAATAATTAAGTAATTTATACATTCTTTATTATACATCTGGCCACTTACTGTTCAAGGGAAAATCATGGTGCCATGGCAGAAAGGGAGCAGGGTTGCAGCTTCCCACTGCATATGCCAGCTTCAGGAAGGACTGGCCAATCCTCAGGGCAAACCAGGTGTGCAAAGGAGGAAGAGGGCATCTGCACCTGCTGCACATCTGGGTGCTGCAGAACTGGTTGGCTATCCACCCTCCCCAAAACACTTGGCTGTGGCCCCTAACCCGTCTTCTCTCCCAGGTCTCAGGACAGCTATGTACATTTAACAGGGCTGCAGGAACCCATGTGGCACTCATGGAGGGAAGAGGTGAGGGGCTAATCTCCGTAGTGCTTTGGAGATAAGTGGGAGGATCTCCTAATCCCTGTTGTTTCAGGAAGGGATTAACTAGGAGCTTGCTTTGTGGTTGCAAATAGGGTATTTAGCCATTGAAATGCTCCTGGAATCAACTGTCAAAGCAAAACAATACAGGCAAGAGGGAGAGTCTTGTGAAAGTCTCAACCATGGGGTATGTCTACACACCAATTAAAAATCTGCAGCTGGCCCGAGGGGGCTCTGGCTCATGGGGCTGCCTAATTGCAGTGTAGACATTCAGGCTTGGGCTGCAGCCGGGGCTTGAATATCTACATTGCAATTAAACAGGCCTATGAGCCTGAGTCAGCTGGCCTAGGCCAGCTGCAGGCTTCTAATTGCAGTGTACATGTACCCATGGAAGGCAAGCAGAGAATGGAGAAAGGTAAGAGTCAGAACATCACGATCTCAGAAATAGTGCTCACACCTGCTGGAAGAGAAAAGCATTACACAATGCATTCTAGGCAAATATGGGAATGAATGAATGACAACACAAGTGATTAGGAACACAGAAGCATGTATTCAATACTAATAGGCTGTCAGAATGCTAAATCAATGTGACTTGCTAACCAGCATCACAACATTAAGAAACACGAGGTTAGAAACAAATTTTACAGGAGGAATGTTTATTTTAGCTGTCGACAATTAAGGAAACTGGATCTGACCAGGAAAAGATGACTGGGTCATGTAAGCCCCTCATCTTTTACCTGGGTATAATCCACACAGGTAGTTACACACACAATCTCTATTTGCTTTTTCCTGTAAACTGTACTTACGTCGCTTGGTTGGACTGTCATCAAGTGCATCTGCTAAACTGAAGTCATCAAAATCATCTCCATATCCTAGAGATAAAGAATTGGCATTGGCTTTACTCATTACTCACTGACAATGTAAAACAACTTTCAATACAGCATGGCTGGACTTGTTCCCTTAGATTGCTTTGGTTTTAGAGATTTTTAAATCTGACCCATTACCAACAATGAAGAAGACGACAGCCTTCTCAGAATTCTGTGACTGTGAAATTGCAGAGCAGTCATCTCTGGATTTTCCATTTGTCTGCTCTAATGGATTTGGTATAAATATACATGCTACACTTAAATTTGTCAAGTGGAGCCTACCAATTCATCTCTCTAGTTGCCACTCATCTGTGGATGTACTCACGATTATGTTTGCTAAACATCATAAAAATATTGGAATGGCTTAGATAATGTTTGTGCAAAACACACACACTCTCTACACTCCGTTCCTAAAGGTACATTCAAATAGTAAAGGTTTTTATATTAAAAAATAAAATTTGCTGTTGTGCCTGCTAAACATACAACTTAACATTCACTCTGTCCAGGCAATATAAATTCTGGACATACCCATATTCAAAGAGTATACCTGACAAACAGAAAGTATATTTATTAAGGATGCCTCACGACATCTTAGCTATCTCCTATCATTTAACATCCCAATGATGCCCCTAAACTATATGCTATTCTAATGTGGTAGGTCCACTAATCCTTCTTTTCTCTGTCTTTTTGCATCACATTAATTACTGTTGACTTAGCCTAGTTCTGAATGCATTTGTCTTGATAAATTCATGCTTTTACATCTCAGAGCATGCTGAGTAATTAATATCCTTTGGGTTTGCTAAGTACTGCAGCACTGCAAGAGAACATTAAAATGGCTTTCCTCTTATTCCTACTGCTAAATGGATTTAGCTGTTGCCACCTGAGCTCCAGCTTGCTTCATGAATAAATTTAAAGCTTTACTGACAAGGACAATAACAATGAAAAGGCACTAGTCCATCAGAAAGCAGGTATCAGCATTTCAGTGAAAAACTTTTGCACACGGTGGTCACAAAGTATTATAACCCATTCAGCTCTGATTTCAGTTATTCACACATCACATCTTGTTTCATCTACCATCTATTTAAATGTAAACGTGGCAAACAAGGGAACGATTTAAATGTAGGGTCTATGGTTTTTAAGTTACTTTGTATTTCTGTACCTTCTAGGGAAGCACTCAAGAGTATTATGCTGCTGCTTGGGCGATTTATTTTTTCTTAGATCGGTCCATAGATGAATTAGAACAGACTATATCCTCCTTTGTTGTATGAGAATGGAGATGTCTATGGTGGAAAGCAAGCCGTGCGAGACAGGCAGGGAGCAATAAGGTATTAGATACAACGCCACAGATGAAGTGGAATCTTATCAACAAATCCTTTTGTTTAGAAAACTGATACCAGGGCCCTCTAGTCTGGGGGAATGGAATACAACCTCAAACTCCAATCCACATCCTTGCCCCCAGCCTACAGTGCTCCTGCTTGTACCACACCTTCCACTGGATACAGCACATTTCTCCTCTTCCCCCCTCCTCACCCCCCCCCCGCAAAAAAATATCCTGTGCCTCCCGTGCCCTTCTACCAGTAAAGTCTCTGCAGTGTGAGACAGGAAATGCTCTCACACTCCAAGTAAATGGTACTTCAGCAGTAGAAAGCATCCATTGCTGATCACATCAGGGAACTGAGCAGCTGGAGACTGAGGGCCTAATTCATCAAGGTATACAGACAAATGCCTAACTTCAAGCAGGTGAATATTCCACTGAAGTCTAAGTGTATAAAGATGATACAAACTAAGACCTTTGAGCATGTGACCTTTAATTCCAGAATGTTAAGGAAGAATAACTAGTCTTCAGAACTAATCTGCCATACTGGGACACAGAATGTGTTACAACTGACAGTATTATTATAAAAAGAAAAGGAGTACTTGTGGCACCTTAGAGACTAACCAATTTATTTGAGCATGAGCTTTCGTGAGCTACAGCTCACTTCATCAGATGTTTACCGTGGAAACTGCAGCAGACTTTATATACATACAGAGAATATGAAACAATACCTCCTCCCACCCCACTGTCCTGCTGGACAGTGGGGTGGGAGGAGGTATTGTTTCATATTCTCTGTATGTATATAAAGTCTGCTGCAGTTTCCACGGTAAACATCTGATGAAGTGAGCTGTAGCTCACGAAAGCTCATGCTCAAATAAATTGGTTAGTCTCTAAGGTGCCACAAGTACTCCTTTTCTTTTTGCGAATACAGACTAACACGGCTGTTCCTCTGAAACCAGTATTATTATAGGTGGCAGTATTGGAACCACATTGTTCCCAGGACATTAGAGAGAGAGAAGGTGGGTGAGGTAGTATCTTTTATTGGACCAATTTTTGTTGGTGAGAGAGAGAAGCTTTCGAGCCAAATCAAGCTCTTCCTCAGGTCTGGGAAAGGTACTCACAGAGTATGTCGACACTGCAATTAAAAACCCACAGCTGGCCTGTGCCAGCTGATTCAGGCTCAGGCTAAGGGGCTGTTTTAATTGCAGTGTAGATGCTTGGGTTGGAGCCCAGACTCTAGGATGCTGTGAGATGGGAAGGACTCAGAGCTCGAGCTGTAGCCCAAACCCCTACCGTCTACATCTCTATTAAATGGTCCCTTGTCCCAGGAGCCTGAGTCAGCTGACGCGGGCCAGCCATGGGTTTCTACACTCAAAAGGTAAATCAACCCAGCTACATTGCTCAGAGGCGTGAAAAATCCAAACCCCTTAGCAATGTAGTTAAGACGACCTAATCCCTGGTGTAGACAGTGTTAGGTCAACGGAAGAATTCCTCTCGGGGGAGGTGGATTATCTACGCTAATGGGAGAACCCGTCCCATCAGCGTAGGTAGTTTCTACGCTGAAGTGCTACAGCGACGCAGCTGCAGCAGTGTTTCAAGTGTCGACAAGCGCTAACACTGTGATTTTTACTGTCTAGCAGTTATCATCCATGAGTACTTTTCATAAAACTATCACTCCGTATCTGACCTCTCAATCCTCATCCTCAAAGGAAACCCGCACAACACCTTCAAAGCACGAGCCTGGAAGCTTCAATAAACAACTTTGCAAGACACTAAAAATCATGGTCTTAAAGATACTGCATTTATGGTGTATTACAACAATCTGTAACCCACTAACTCTGCTGCAGCCACGTCACCCGTTTTTGTTCCATGACTGCAGGAGTGTTAACGGGCCACTTCACCTTGAATGGTTCCTTAGAATGTGTTTTAACTACTTATGCTAAACAATCTATTCCACCTTGTGTTTAGCTGTGACTCTGCATACCTTTCCCAGACCTCGGTAAGAGCTCTGTATAGCTTGAAAGCTTGTCTATTTCACCAACAGAAGTTGGTCCAATAAACGATATTACCTCACCCATCTTATTTTTAGTAATATTATAATAGCATGACGTGTGTGTGTGTGATCAAGGCTCCAGTGTGGTAGGTACTGTACAAACAACACTGCCTGCTCCAGAAAGCTTGCGTTGTAGCTTAATGCAGAGAACATCACCGCCTTGACCTTCTATATCTTTGAGTATTGTATGGATTTGCCTTCCCCATATTGTATGTCTCTCTCTAGCCTCCATTCTGTGTACAGGGGTTCACTTCTTCCCAATGTTGCTACATAATCTTTGATGTCTGTGTTTTAAAGGAAACATACAACAAAGAGGAAAGAAAAAGGTCCATAAAAATCTCCAGAGTGACAAGGGACAAAAATGAAATGCTGCAAACCTCACCCAATGGGACTGCATCATCTTAGGGCTTATCGACATTGGCACTTTACAGCGCTGCTACTTTCTCGCTCAGGGCTGTGAAAAAACACGCTCCTGAAGGCAAGCAAGTTTCAGCGCTGTGAAGTGCCAGTGTAGATAGTGCACCAGTGCTGGGAGCCGCGCCCCTTGTGGAGGTGGGTTTTTTTACGAGCGCTGGGAGAGTGGCAGCACTTTAATGTTGCCAGTGTAAACTAGCCCTTAGACTCTACTTGAATTCCCTTTTAACACAGCGGCACTTTGTAGTAGGTGCAAAGCTAATTGAAGGCTGGAATATGGTAGCAATGCTAACATTCATATTTGTATTCCAAAAGCCTCTCCCTGCCCCTCCTTTTTTTCTTCCCCCCCCCTTTTCCCCCCCTTCCCCCATTCTCAGTGATTAAATAAATGTTAAGGGCACTGATTCGCTGTACACCAAGGCTGTGTAATTAACAGGTCCCGGCAGGATCTTTTGTTTTTTTACATATGATAATGCAGTTGGTGAAATGTGCCATCAGAGGCAAATTGCAGCTCCTCTATCAAACTGTTAGAAATATGTGGAAACACAATACCATATGTGTCCAGTTATAGCTTCCTTTTCTTTTAAAGAACATAAAGGGGCCTTACTTCCATGCAATATGCTCAGCTACCCCAGGAATGCCGAGAATAACCAAACTCCTACTGGAAGAAAAACAGCTAAAGCTAAGGAGGCATGATGCACCCTCAGGCACTGAAAACTATTTGAGAAATGTGCATATTTCCACTGAGTCTATTTCACAGCTTTTCCTTTGCAGTGTTGCCAACTCTCATGATTTTGGCATGAGTCTCATGATAATTATTGTTTTCTTTTAAAGCCCCAGCTCCTGGAGTCAAGTGGGTATGTGATGATTTCAGTCTTTGTTCTTAAAGAAAAAGTAAGTGTCTCACCCTCTTGGTTGTGAAGAAAGCTTTAAAATGTGACTCAAGTGCACCCTAAAAGCTCAAAAAGCAGAAGGCAAAAGACATCAAATCTATTAATCTCATGATTTTAAAGCCAATCAAGATTTTTGGTGAGCCTGACTCATGATTTTTTGAACATTTGGGGTTCATATACACACAGAGACCATACACACAGAGACCATGAAACAATACCTCCTCCCGCCCCACTGTCCTGCTGGTAATAGCTTATCTAAAGTGATCATCAGGTTGGGCCATTTCCAGCACAAAACCTGAATTTGAGAAAACCTGGATTTGTGCTGGAAATG